AAGGTCATCTGAGGTTATCAGCCTACACACACACACACACACACACACACACACGCAGAGAGAGACAGCAGTGCAGAAAGAATACTTGGAAATTCACCCAGAGACAGACACAGTTCAAAGGTCAGGCTGAAGCACAATAGATTTTCTCATCATCATTAGTCATACTAAGAAGAAATATAAATCTTTAACACAGTCGATCCATATTTTCTAACTACTCCAAGCAAGCAGATTTTTAAATTGAACTACATTCATTTTTATTTAATTTTAAGTAATGTTTTAACCAATTTGTAACGTGTCTTTGACTTTTTTCTCCTTTGTTTATATCTAGGTTTGACTGATATATTAGCAGTAAAACCTAATATATGTATTAGGTTTTTATGTATAATATGTACATAATGTATACATGTATATATTATATACCTCCTGTATCTATCTTTTTTTTTTCTTGCCACGTTGATCCTAATTATAACACAATTTCATCAAATTCATCAGAACAGCTGAGCTGATCCTGAGTAAGCATGGAGCAACAGTGGGGAGGAACCATCCTCTGGAAGCGTGAAGTAACCTCCAGCAGAACCAGGGTTAGTTTGGGTGCTTATCTTCCACAATCAACAACGAAGAGAATAGATCAGGCATTTAATTAGCAAATAACTACATCCAGGAAAAAGAAACAGCCGGATGCAGTATTTTGGGAAGCAATACCAAAAACAAAGTCAAGAAAATTTAAGTGAGTGTAAGAATTTATAACATTCATCATTTATAAGATGGCCTCATCATTTACAGGTTCAGAATGTCATGAAGCAATAAATGTTTTTACTTATTTGAATACAGCATTCATGTTAGATTGCTTATAAACTCATGCATGAAACTTTAAACTTAAAACTTACACTTACCTTATTCAGTGAGTTCAAACATAATCTGTGCTGTGAAAGTAAGTCAAAACCAAACTAAGTATTGATCAAATCTCTTTTCATCAACCCTCTTTTCATAGAAATACAAGCAGTGACCACTGAATGACTGTCAGTCTGAACTTAACTGGAGCCAGCAGGTTGGTACAGTGAGATTTCACTGCACTAAAACAAACACACTTACATAAGTTATCCAGGAGGGCTGTAAGCTATAAACTCCACAATTCACGATTCCTCACTAAAAGAGAAATGGTCAGGTTATAAACTTGTGGAAACAAATTGTATACAGTAAAATCTAGTGTTTTTTTTTTTAATTTTGTGAAAAGTGAAAAGAGTGAAAATAATGTTTTGTAATATCAATTAATGAATTCTAATTTCTTAGACAAAAATTTATTAAATTATTCCAGGCTCAGGGACACAGGAACCTAAATAAATAAAAACTAATGAAAATAATTTGCAACACAAAATAGTTCACATGCGAAAACCAGAAGCAAGACACAGAGATGTTTTTTTTGTTCTAAAATTTTCATAAAAAACATTTATTATCATGTTAGAAACAGTTTTCACAGGATCAATATCACTCTGTATGTGCCGTATCATCCTCGTTAGGAACAAAATAGTTTATACACATTTTTGTTCTGAATTATGAACAAAGGATTTAAGTCACTGTTCTCTTAAAAGTAGGCCAGTACACGTCTCATGGTATGACTGTCTTATCTGCTCTCCACAAAGCATGACAGAAAGACAACAATGACAAAGTTCAAAACTAAACTCACTCTCAGTGGGTCAAAGTTCAGACTGGACTTATATCACAGTGAAAAACCTGGCAAAAAAACAGTCGGAATTAAAGCACGGATAGCTAATAATAAGTCTAGAAATGTGAAACATTTACAGCTATGTTCAAACAAACAACTGTGAGCTGGGGAAAAAATTATCACAGCACCTGCACTGCAGATAACTGTGGCACCTTAAAATACTTTCTTCTCTCACCGCTGCATCCAAATGTTCCTAGTTTTTCCAAACTCAGACACAATGAAGTATTCATGAACTGTAGCTTGAACTCTTCCACATTTTGTGACATTACAAACACAAACATATTTTGAAAATCCATGTGACCAACATGTAATTTAACCATAGTATCTGCTCAAGAAAATCCTCTGAGATTCTTTTTTTTTGAAAAACTGGTGAACAAATCATTTCATAAAGAGGAACATGTCATACATGTTCAAAGATGTTCAAAGCAGAATTCAATATCAAAAGCTTTGAACATCCGGGTTTGAAAGCTCATGTGGGGTTGAACAACTTCCAGTGGCTATAGCGTTAGCATTAAAAGGCTAGGAACAAAGCTCAGCCTCGGCGCAGTTGTTTTTGTTCGGTCCCTGGTTGTTCATGTGGGGCAAGAAAACAACCTTATCTGTCATATCATGCGTTCCCGACGGAGCCGGACCAACGGAGGCAGTGGATCCAGGCGATCCGAAGAGACGAAGGTCCGGACTTTTGCATAAAGACGGGGAGCACTTTCGTATGTAGCCGCCACTTCACACCGGAGGATTTTGTTAGCGGATCCACCACCAGCCGCCTTAGAAGTGGAGCTGTTCCTTCCCTGTTTGCCTGGAATAACTTTACTGCACCGGCAATGAGAAAGTCTGCTTTCGAGAGGGCTAAGAAACGGCAGTTTGTCCTCTCAGAAAGCTAGCCAGGCTGGAGATGCTACTGCAGACCATGACAACAAGGCACATCCACCCGCAGGGGCCGAGGCGGTTGTGCGCATGCGCGAGGCCAGGTCAGTTGTGCGCATGCGCGGGGCTGGGGCGGTTGTGCGCATGCGCGGGGCATGGGTGGTTGTGCGCATGCGCGGGTCTGGGGCGGTTGTGCGCATGCGCGGGGCATGGGTGGTTGTGCGCATGCGCGGGGCCGGGGCGGATGTGGGTTTGGACAACTTCCGGTGGCTATAGCGTTAGCATTAAAAGGCTAGGAAAATGGCTCAGTCTCGGCGCAGTTGTTTTTGTTCGGTCCCTGGTTGTTCATATGGGGCAAGAAAACAGCATTTTTCGGTCATATCATGCGTTGCCGAAGGACCCGGACTAACGGAGGCAGTGGATCCAGGCGATCCGAAGAGATGAAGGTCCGGACTTTTGCATAAAGACGGGGAGCACTTTCGTATGTAGCCGCCACTTCACACCGGAGGATTTTGTTAGCGGATTCACCACCAGCCGCCTTAAAAGTGGAACTGTTTCTTCCCTGTTTGCCTGGAATAACTTCACTGCACCGACAATGAGAGAGTCTGCTTTCGACAGGAAGAACGGCAGTTTGTCCTCTCAGAAAGCTAACCAGGCTGAAGATGCTACTGCGGATAATGACAACACGGCACATCCACCCGCAGGTAAAAGATAGTATATTGTACATATTTTCCATGTAAGAGAATTTTAGTAAAATATAACTGTTGCTATAATCATTATTAATAAAATTATGAGATTATGTGGTTATGTATTTTGTGGAGAGATTAAGTCAATGGCTGTATACATACATGCTCCGACTCACAACATGTATTGATCTTTACAGAAGTAATGTTTCCAGTATATAAGTAAAATTTGTTGCTAAACGTATGTTTTGCTATTTTATTTTGTGGTTTTAAAGGTGCATTTGATGAAGCTCTGGATTATGTTAATCCAGAGCTTCAAAAAGTGGATTTGTCTGCCACGCTACAGTGCCTCTGATGACCAGATCCGGCTCTACGCCAAATCTCCATCTGAATGTGTGTTCTGGATCTTCTGGGAGTCCATTGCACCCTCTGCATCACGCCTGGTTTACTGGATCAGAGCACAGAAACTTGGAGCCAGCCCTGCCTGCTGCATGCCTCTGATTGATGAGTTCCTGATGTCCTCATTCAGGGTAGCAGTGGGCATGAAGGAGCAGCTCATTGCTGACATGTTTCATAGCTACTGTCAGCCGAGTGACCATCACCTGGGCCAACTACCTCTTCATTGTGTTCTCTTCCATCAACCTGTGGATTAGTCGTGAGAAGGTAAAAGCCAGTATGCCTCAGAAATTTCTGAAGTTCTCTCCAATGTCCTTGTCATCTTGAACTGCACAGAAGTTGCTCTGGAAATGCCATCATCCCTCACCTTACAGTCTGAAACGTTCTCTGCCTACAAGAACCACACCACTCTGAAAGGGCTGATTGGAGTTGCTCCCTGTGGGTTGGTGACATTTATTTCAGCGTTGTACACAGGCTGCATCTCAACGAGTCAACCAGCTACAGGCTCTGAGTTGAAATTGACAAAAGTGTCCAAATGATCCGCGGTTCTGAACTACTTTGAATTTGTTTTATCGTTAGTGACCAGCAGCCTGATGCTTCTGTTCTCTTGGTTTGTGCTACTTCATGTCAGATGGATTTCAGAATGACACAGTGGCTCTCTGTGGTGGTGAAATTGTAAGATCCGCTGCTGCAGTCATGTCTATGTTGTAAAGTTAAATTATCTTGAGCTTTATTATTTGGGTGACTTGTTCTGCGAGTGAACTCTAGGTTAGTCCATATGTACAAATTAAACAAAACAGTAAAAAAAAAACTTGCTTTATTCAATGTATAGATATATATAATAACAATTGATGTTGATTTCTTTCTTATTTTTTTGAATAAGAAATTCAAAGAGAAAAGCTCTTTGAACTGTCTAGCAAATTCTGCAGCTTTGACTTCGCAGGGCTCCGTGCAGCTGTCCTGGCTTTGAGCCTGAACTGGATGAGGCAACATTGCGTAATTCTCACATGCCACGAGACATTTCCTACGGTGTCAGCACAACCCTGATGAGGTGAGACAAAACCAGTGAGGCAGACCGTCGCTGGGAAACATCACATAGACCAACCGTTGTGCAAAATGACAAGTAAGTGTGCATCACCCAGCATCTATCTTGCCTTAGGCTGACAGCAATCACAGGTGTTTTTTTTATTGTGGGAAGTCTGAGCCTCTCACATTGTGGTGAGTTGTGTCCTTGTTTGATTATTCATGTGCACACCCTCCCTCACCACTATATTGGACGCATCCTAATGGTCAGGTGGCTACATGTAGACCACCTCCTAACCGCGCCACTTTGGCCTTTTTACTTAAAGAGCGACCACAGAAGCTGAAATCTGCACTTTGCCTGGGAGGGGCTACAAGTTGTAAAAAAAAATTAAAAAAAGTCTTATTATTTGCCATACTGAATGGACATTGGACATTAATTTCTGTTATTTTCTACTGCGCTAATCAACCAGGGACCGCCATGGAAAAAGGTACGAGGAGATCAGACAAGTTTTGCTTTCTTTGGGAGGATTTCAGAAAGTCTTCTGGAAATGATGAAACCAAAGTTTGGATCCAGCTAGAGTTGTTGCCTTGTGTGGTTTTGTTGTAAATCTTCACTCAGCTGGTGGAAGTAATTCTGCTGGGAGCACTGGACTGCCAAAACATCCCTGAAGCTTTGTCAGGAGTTAACATGTAGTTATCCCAGTTCTACGGATAATATTGTCCTTTTTTTAATTAATAGTAAGGAATCAAGTTTTTTTTTAATGTATTAAACAAATGATGACCAAAAGAGAATAAATTATAGGACTATTTTTAATTCCCTTGTGATACATTTTAATTTGAGGTTACTAACAGTCCATAAATCTCATAAATTCAGCTAAAATCATCCAGTTTTTCCCTTTGGCACATATACATTTTTTTTTTTTTTCAGAAATTGTTTTTAGAAACCATAAACAAAGAAAGAAAAGAAAATTAAATGAATTGTTTCTGCATAAGCAGAATATTATTGCACTGTTTTAAGATTGCCTAATCCGTTCAGTTAAAGGTTAATTTGTGTGCTGGACAGGGAGTTAGTGTGGAATTATGTTTAAAAGACTTCAGCTGAAACATTTCATGAGAACCGCCTGTTTAAAATATAATCACTAACCTGCACACACACAAGAATTGGTGAAAGGTGAATTATGATTGACAAGATACACAGAAGCATTACGTTTTACCTCCCGTGTCAAAAGTCAGTGACTCAGGAATGAGTTCAATAGTTCAAATTGCACAACAACTTAATATTGATGTGGCAATAAATTCCCTTTCATCTGACCGAAGTCTGTCTTTTCATTTGACTAACATTTTCTTCCAGTCCTCAGTTTCAACTCACGCAGTCTGTTTGCTCAACAGTTCGTTGCAACATGACAGAGTTTTGGAAGGAGCACTCCCAAGCCGCCACCGTGGAGGAGATGATGCTGGATTCCCGAGCCAAAGAGCTGACGGAGAATGAGCTGCCTGAGATCCTGTCCATGCTGCCTCCCCTGGAGGGACGCAGAGTGCTGGAGCTGGGAGCTGGGATTGGGTGAGCATGAAGCTCAGTTACTCTGTGAAAAGGTTTCTAAAGCAAATTTAGAAATAGAAGAAGGAAGAAAGTTAAATTGTGCCTTGTTTTCAGTTCTGTTGCAGGAAACATTGAATAATCTGTGCTCTGATGACCTGCATGTCTCCATGGTTAATATTTATCTATCAACCTTGAGATGTATTTAGTCCTCGACATTTCATTTCACTAAGGCAGAGCAGTTATTTAAGAACAATCAGGATATGATCCATTGACCTGGTATTGGTCAGATTGCTTGAGATTTTTGGTGACCTGTCAATATTTTTCAGATTTGACGAGACTGATTTGTTAGTTGAAATTACATTGTTTTTAAATTTTAGGTAGTGGTCAATGATGATAATTAGGTGTCCTCCATAACCAGACGAAGAACTGTTGCGTTGCCCCATATTCTGAGTTAGGAGGAGGACATAAATATTGAGTACAAGTGACCCGACAATACAGCCTTGAGGAACCCCAGAGGTGATCTTTTTTTATTCAGTTCTAATTGCCAAACTAAACAAGTACAGTCTGATCCAGTTTAGCAAAATACTAGGTAATCCCATATACTGGTATGGTGTACGAGGTGACATATCATGATCATCTGTGTCAATTGTAGAAGTAAGAGCCAGTAATACCAGCGTACAAATAAAACACAAAGCGATGAAGAGATTTTAATCCAAAAAACAAATTTGTCTCTATAAAAAGATGGCAGAGCTTTGTTAAGCAAATAAAATAAATCTTAGCTGCAGCAGTCTTATAAATGCTTCATTTTTATAGTTAAAGTTGTTTGAATCAAGCTTCATTTATGTTTCATAAAAAACTGTCATGTTCCTCTACAGCCGCTTCACCAGCCACCTGCTGACCAAGGCAGCCCATGTGACCGCGGTGGACTTTATGCAAAGCTTTGTGGACAAGAACAGGCAGAGCAATGGTCACCATAGCAACGTCAGCTTCGTCCAAGCCGACGTCACAAAGCTGGACATCCCCCAGCACAGGTAGGGGTGAAGAGTACAGACCTGTTGAAAGTTAAGCAGAAAAGACCAAAGAAATCACAACTCATCCATGAATCAGTTATGAAACAAGAGGCACAGAAAATGGTCTTCTGACTATTGCTGATACACAATCAGATGAAGCTTATATCTGCAGTTTTTGGTGAAATGCAAACTGCGACTGAGTTTCACTAAATCAAGTTCATTTTCAAACAAACATTTCATAAAAGTGCCTTAAAGTGCGTCTTGAAGGTCATACATACTTTCCATGACCGATGCTCATTAATCTCTCCTGTATGGAATATATTTCCTGTCAAGCTGTACATTTTGGAGTTACTAATATAACTACTTCCTCAGTATCGACTTTATCTTCTCCAACTGGCTGTTGATGTATCTGAGTGATGAAGAGCTGAAGTCCTTCATGAAGAAAATGCTGAACTGGCTGCAGCCTGGTGGCTTTCTCTTCTTCAGAGAGTCCTGCAACCACCGCTCAGGTACTGAGTGAACAGAAAACATTTCTGAATCTTTTCATCCAACATAAATAATCACAGTTCTTTTTTATTCTTTGAAGGTGACTGCAAGAGAGATTTCAATCCCACCTGCTACCGCAGCGAGGCACAGTACACTCACCTGGCCACTTCGGTGCAGGTGGAGGCACTGGAGGGAGGCCAAAACTTTGGTTTCGATATTGTCTTTAAAAAGAGAGTTCAGACTTATGTTGAGGTATTGCTAAGTCTTTATCTAATAATTCCTGTGATACGTAGACAAAGATATATCTTCCTTTCATCATCTTTTCTTGCGTTCATCCTTCTGCTATCTCAGATGAAAAACAATCCGAACCAGATGTGTTGGCTTCTGCAGAAGCTTCCTCGCTCCTTAGATTCTCAGAGTGGTTTTAGCACATTCCAGCAGTTCCTGGACAACCAGCAGTACACCAGGCGAGGCATCCTGCGCTATGAAAAGATGTTTGGGGCTGGCTATGTCAGCACAGGCGGACCCAGCACAACCAAGGTAAAAAATATAAAAGATGTCTCAGAAAGAAGGTAAAATGCTGAAAGAAGTCAAAATGCGAAATACTGAAGTTAAGACCAAGATTATTCATACCTTTGGCAGATTTAGATTGAAAGTAAACAGAATTTTACCAACCTGTTTCTTCTTCCTGGAAGGGATATTCATGTTGTGGATAGTAGTAATAAAGACAAGTTTTGTCATAACTGATTTATTCTTTGTTAATATAAATTAATAAATTTTTGGATGAGCGTTGAGCAGTCAGAGAGTTTTTATCTTTTTCCTGAAATAAAACCTGTCCACCCCTTTTAGGCTTTTGAGTGTTCATGAGTGGACAAATGAGATGAGTTAAACTTTATCAGTATTTTTGAGAGTAAGCATTATAATTGAGTTATTCTCATTCCCATACAGAGTCATTGTAAACTTTATAGTGGTGGTGTATATGTGTGCTACAGCTGAGTTACAGAACTGATATCCTTTTTCAACAATTCTCAAGAAATCTGTGGCTTTCTGGTTACGCTGATGATCCCACCACCAATAAAAGTATATATTCTTATTTGCCTTTGAAGCAAAAGTTTAACAGTGGGCGGAGGATTTCATATTTCAGCAAATTAAAAATTTCATAATTTTTTTCAACAGGAGTTTGTGGACCTGCTGAACCTGAAACATGGACAGAAGGTTCTGGATGTAGGCTGTGGAATTGGAGGAGGAGATTTCTACATGGCAAAGGTGAGACCAACGAGACCAGGAGAAATATACGCCCATTGCATCATCTATATGATTGCAAGAACTAAAAGGAAGGCAAATGTTACGTCATCCTGCAGATGTTTGGGGTGGAAGTGCTTGGCTTGGATTTGTCCGACAACATGGTTGATATTGCCATTGAAAGGGCAAGAGCAGAGAAGCTGCCATCAGTATGGATCATGTTTATTTCCTTTTACTTTTTATATTAAAAATCAGAGCGTTGCCTCTGCAGCTCCTTTGTTATAAGCATGCACAACCATGAAACCAAGTATCTCTAAGCTGTTGGCATTTCCTTAGGTGCAGTTTGAGGTGGCAGACGCTACTAAGAGGACGTTTCCAGAAGGTTCATTTGACGTGATCTACAGCAGAGACACAATTTTGCACATTGATGACAAACTGGATCTCTTCAAACGCTTCCACGTAAGAATTTTTATCATTTTCTTATTTTATATTTACATTGATTTGTTTGTGAGAGAAATATAAGAAAAATGTAAAAAGTTTATGTGACGTTTCTTCTTTTATTCCTTTTGCCGTATGATCAGTAACTTTTCTGCTTCTTTGCATCCAGTCCTGGTTAAAGCCGGGAGGTCAGCTGCTAATCAGCGACTACTGCTGCGGGGAGAAGCCGTGGAATCCAGTATTTGAGGCCTACGTCAAACAGAGAGGTTATATCCTCTACACACCGTCAGAGTATGGCAAGGTGAACCAACGGGTTTATATATTAGCACTTCCCACTGCTGTGTAATTTAGTTCAATATTAGAAGAGTTAGCCTTGATGTCATGCTAGCACATTTTAAAACTAGTCGTTCTGAGATATCAGTTGTTGATTAGATTCCTGCTGCAATAATAAAAAACTCTGGAAAATAAGATGTTAAATCTGTGCTAGTCCTACATGCAGTGGGAGTTTCTGAAACAGGATATATGGGCAGTTTCCCAGAATGCCACAAAAATAGGGAATGTACCAGGCACTCCCACTTGCTGCTGAGAATTGAGGGATCAGGTTGTTGTGGCACCAGTTGCCTCGTGTCTTACCTTTATCTACATCAAACCAAGAGAAGTGAAGAAATTGTGTTTTCACCAGCTGCAGTAGACTCTGGGAGTGGCAGGAGGAGAAGCTTGCCCAGGGCGCTACTGATGCAAGAACCACTGTCAATCACTTTTGGTGAAATTCCTGTACAAACTAATCTCCAGCTAGATACTTTGCTGCCTAAAGGCAACGTTGCATCAGACCAAAACAACTTACAACAACGTCAAACCTACAAATTCCTTTTAGGTCCTTTGAAAGACCATTTACACAGACAGATATGTTATAGGACTTTTGCTTGACTCTACTGAAAAACAGTTTTGTTCATTCTCTACGTGAAGTTATGCTACATGTATCCACGAGGTGGTGCTGTTTCCTCTCTTACTCCCCCCTCACTCCTCTTCTCTTTTTCTCTCTTTCTCTCTCTGATGCAGTTCATTCAGGAAGCTGGTTTCTGCAATGTTCGAGTAGAAGACCGAACAGCCCAGTTCATCCAAGTGATCCAGACTGAGTTGCAGAGAGCAGAGGACATTAAAAAGGAATTTATCCAGGTTAGTTTGCAGAGCAGCTTGAACACTCAAATTTTTACGGAGAGGGGATTTACTTACTGGCACAATTTTTACTTAACTTTGGAGAACTTACTAATATCCTTCAGTCTGTTATTTACTTTGCAGGAATTTTCCGAGGAGGACTATTCTGCAATAGTTAACGGATGGCGGGAAAAGCTGGATCGCTCTAAAAGTGGAGACCAGCGATGGGGACTGTTTCATGCTACAAGGAACTGAGTGACTTCTCAAAAAGTGAAGGAGATAAGCAAATTAAGGCTGCTTTTTGATGAGTCTTGTAAAAATTTATATCTTCTTTCAATTTTAATGGCTTGCAAAATAAAAATAAAAAAAAACATTTTTTGGATCAAAATACAAACCAGGCAATGGAAAATCCTGCTGTTTGTTGGTGCAAGATTCAAGTCTGGGCAATATTTGCCCTTGCTTTATTATGATGCATGAAGGCATCAGTAACTCTTTCACTTTGCCTCACCAACATGTGGTTGTTATCATGGTCATTTTTGACAAGCATGTATTTTCCTCTCCAGATGAAGAACTGTACAAATCTGGAGACGTAACATAATTCTGTGATCCGTTTGTTGCTCTTAACATCAGAGTTGCATGATTTACTCAAGGTTTTCTCAGATCTTCTCATAACTTTACCAAAGCAGAATTAATAAATGTTTGGTTAAAGTAAGTGTGTTTTGAGGTTTGTTGTGTAATCCTATCTTCCAGCACAGCAGATTTAGTGAAAGGCTGTCAGTCTTTTACCTCCAAGGCCCCACCCTCTCACATCAGCGCTATTTCCAACACACACCTCGGGGCAGGAACCCACCAGTAGCTGCTCGTAGCAGAAAGATCTCTTTCATTGCAAAAAGCCGCTCAGCCAGTTTGACTTGAACAAATTAAATTTGACTGTTGATGGATGGACATGCGGTAGGTTGTAATGTTGTTTGTTCACTGTTGTACCAGGAAATAAATGACTGTTTACACGTAATGATCACTATAAAAGATTATGCAATGCACACTTCTTTTTTTAACAGACAAAATAGTAAATTACAGGGATAGTCATTACTCCTGCCTGAAGACCGTAATTTATTCTCTTTTAATTTTAAATTACTTACATCATAATGAACTCGAAATACAACTGTTCAACCTGTCCAAAAGCAACGAGAGGGCAAAGGCCAGACAGGACTTGGTTCCAGGAAAAACTGCTTTTGTTCAGCCCAACTGGCTGAACAAGAGCAGTTTCAAAGCTTTCTTTGGTGCTGGGAGTCGCCTGGATCCATGAAGCTGATTATTTTGTGTGTGTTTTATCTGATGGATCCACTCACAAGGTTGAGTTATTGAAACTAAGTTGAATGCATTTTTTTTTTAAGTTTTATCAGTGAAACCAGTGAAATATGTAGCAAAAAAACTAACAGCATCACATAAAACCTCATCTCACATACATACATTTACACAATATATAAAAACAGTGAGAAAGTTATTAAAAGCAAAAAATTCACAACCCAGAGAAAAACTGCCAGGCACAGGATGTAGCTCTTGTTAACAATCTATATTAAAATAGATGACCATGCTGAGTGATAATAATCATCGCGAAAATGAAACCTCGCTTCTATCCACACATTGAAATATCATTGCTTCCAATACCTGAAAATATTTTCTGCCCATTGATCTTGCTGCATTACAACTACAAAATCTATTGTGTTGTGTTTTTCATCTGGATTTTATATGAAAGTCCAATAACATGCAGTTGAACAGTTTCACAAATGACATCTCTGAGAAGATGTGTGTGTAACCCAGGTTAAAATAGCCTTCACTCGAATTAACTAATTACTATTTCATAATAAATAATTATAAAATGCGTAAATAGGAAATGTATTCGGAATAAATAGGGCAAAATAGTTTCAAATAAATAAAGAATAATAAAAGAATAAAATAAAAGTTACAGACAGTGTAATTTATATTCATGTATTTTATTTTGTTTGATTTGAAACTGTGTGAAGTTTATTTATTTTGTCAGCAGTTAGAACGGTTAAGTGTAAGAAAAAAGTCTCTTATTCTGAAGGGTCACATTGCTGTGTAGTCAAGGTGACTAGCCCCATCCCTGCGCTAGGGGAATGGAGCGGGACAGACCGAGAGAGAGAGAGAGAGACAGACCGAGAGAGAGAGAGAGACAGACCGAGAGAGAGAGAGACAGACCGAGAGAGAGAGAGAGACAGACCGAGAGAGAGAGAGAGACAGAACGAGAGAGCGCGAGGGAGCGAAGAGTCGTGCTGAGCTAAGGGTGATCAAAGCGAACCGCCGATTAGCAAGGCTACGAACAGCTGGAAACTTTTTCCTCATTTTTGTAGGAGGAGTTTTTTAAAGAGAGTTGTCTGTTGGACTTGGTGAGTGAAAGACTGTATTTTATTTCTGTGATAAATAGAAAAGTTAATTTATTTGACCGAAACGGAAAAAACGGAGCAACGTATTTCCGTTAGTATACGTTGGAAGCCGTTAATGTAACAAATGAGCCGAGTTGGCTAGTGTGTTGCTTTGCGCGACACAGAGAAAAGTTAAAAGGGACTTTTGTGCTTGTGGTTATTAAACCAGGCCTTTTTATTGAAGTTCTACTGAAGCCGGACCGGGAATTTCCGAGCCAAATTGCCGAATTGGACTACGATGGTGAGCCGTTGACCCAGGAACCCAGAAAAGCGGATCCAGAGAACCAGAATCAACCCTTCAAGATCACCACAAGGAAAGACTGATTGGAGCACAAGTTGTTCAGTGTTTTACTGGATTATTATTATTGTGTTTTATTTTTTTCTTTTGAATTGTATTCACGCACATTATTGGTGTGGATTGCACATTTTCTGTTGGGTAAAAATAGAAACCAGAGTTAGTTAAAATAGGAGATTAAAAATATATTTATATATCATAATCTCTTAAAATAAAACTAAACACCTAAAATAGATTTAAAAAAATAAAATTAATTAGATTAACCTTCTTAGCTCGAACTAAATTAGAACTACAATTTAGGTTAAATAAACAGCATCCCTTAAAACCTAACATTAGGTTTAAAAGTTCAAACAGGGATTATTCTGGAAGAACAGAAAATTATTTTGAATTGATTTTGTGTCATTGTTTGTCAATTGTCTGTATTTATATTGTCTATTGTTCTTTTTTTCCCTTCTTCAACTAATAATAAGCCGGCAGTTAAACTTACTTTCCCTTGTCTGTGATCATTTATATACTTGCTCAATTTCCACTCCAGCCGCCGAACCTAGCACTGGTCCTATTATTGTTGTTTTAACTGTTAACACGTCGTGAGTGTTACATGTGCATTTGCACTTCTGGGTGAACTAGAGGAACATCACAACCAAAAGGAGGTACACAATAGAGAGAGACAAAGAGACAGCTTAGATTGAATATAATGAACTGATGATAATAATACTTATCACTTTGATAAGTGATAAATCTGACAGGAGCCAAGTACAAGTCGCCCAACTGTTGAGTAATGTTCTGCAGAGGCGTGAGGCAGTTTTCCACAACAGCCAAGTATTTGGACTTGCCAAGATAAAGAAAAGACAGACAGACCAAAGCAGGTCTTAGGTTGAATTAACATGCTGATCAATCCTCCAGTGCAAAAGTTTTCCTTATAAATGTTGTACTTGGAAAGGTTCCCTGTGAAAATAAATTTAATCTGGGATCTGCTTCCACAGAAGTAGATTCTGGAAACTAACTTGCAGCAGGATAATACACCGTGTCACAAAGTCCTCATTACTTGCTAGATTTATCTAGTAATGTGGTTGGTGGGTGTGAATTAGCATAAGACATGTATGTCCTTACAGACATCTGGTGAAAATCTTCTCTTTGGATGTTTGTGGTACGTTCTCAAGCATTTAGTTGAGGCACTTTAATCTCTCCTGTCCAAGCAGAGTTGATCCGGAGACACAAGCCTTATTCGTTGACCTTGAACTTATGCCCAGGGAAGTTTGTTTCTTTGTTACATCTCCAGCTGCCCTGCTCTACTGCTGAAATATACGGTGGACTTTCAATAAGCGATAGCACTACGGAAAGTTAATTCACTTCAATAATTTAAGTTAGAAAATAAGATTTAGAATGTAGACGTATATATTAATAACACACAGTGTGACAAATTTATATATAATTTTTATAACTGCATCATAGTTAATGAAACCCATTAGTTTAGTTTTAAGTTCTCCAGGTATTTCAGGTCAAGTTCACTGACTCTGTGGAGAACAAACGAAGTTTTGCTGCTTTTGGTCGTGTAGGCAGGTGACAAGAGCTGTGGAAAAAGAAAACCTCTGTCTCTGAAAAGCTTGTTAGTCAACAGGAAACTCAGTGTTCTTAAATTTCCTACACTGACAGTCGACTTTAGAAAACACAGTGGACCAACGGCAGCAGGTAACACGACTTTATTCATCCCTGAACGTACAATTTTCACACAGGACCTTAATCCACTTGGATTTTGCCACGCTGGGACTTTGAGTCCCAAATGAAATGTAAAGCTCACTATGAAACTCTGAGCAAAAATCAAATCCTTTTCCTCCTTAGCAAAGGTAAGACAGTTCTGCTATTGTCTTTTTTCCTGAAAAAAACTTAACAGAAGCTATAAAATACTAGTAGTTTATGGCTTTGAAGTGTTTGGAGAATCTTGAAACATTGACTCCACCCTCAACTCACGCCATGTGACTCTTTCCCAGACTCTTGACTAAGTTTGGGGATTTACAATTTTTTCAAGGTTCAGGTGTAACATTTCCCACATTTTCTCCTTCCACTTAACTTTCTGGTAATATGGCAGGATAGATCACTATCTGTCTATCTGTGAATATTTTTATTATATTTTGAACCTTTTGTTGCTCAATCTGTTTGGGCTTTTCTTGATTTTATTTCATCATTTAAAAAAAAAAGTTTTTTTCTTGGTACATTTCTAAAATACACTACAAAGAACAAAGTCGTTACAATATTCTATTTTTGAAACCAGATTGTTTCATTCCAATCCAGGAGGTAAAGCGAGATTTTTTTTTTTTAATCAGTATGGTGGCTATCTTTTGGCGTCCTGCTACAGGCAGTTCAGACTCACTTTGCAACAGATAGGAAAATAAGAGCACTCACCAAACCACAATCAAGCCCTAACTGAGGGAAACGATCAAACTGTGCGATTTATCCGGGGTTACAGATGCGCTCGGCGTGTGAGAGATGTGTCGTGAGTTCGCTGAAAAGTCGGCTTAAAAGTTTAAATGCGGCACTTCCTCTGTCTGTCTGCGGCCCACAGGACGCGCCCACTCGGCTTTGTGGAGCTACGTACCTGCTGCTCTCAGAAGCAACATCATCGCAGAGAAAACATGGCGAGGTTGAGCGAGCAGGGGATTCGCCTCAGTTCCGTAAGTTTTTTCAGACATTTCAAAACATGCGTTTCTGCTCCAGAGAATCGCGTTGATTTGAGAACACCAGAGGAAGCGATCCCGGCTGTTTGTAATGTCTTGTTTTTGTTTTGTTTTGTTTTCCAGATGAGCCCTTCCTTTCTGAACAGCAACTCCACCAGTCATACCTGGCCGTTCAGCGCGGTGGCGGAGTTAATAGGTAAACTGCGCCGACACGATTACATAGAAACTTTGCATAGGACAGCGCACCTGCACTCTGCTTTATTGCGCTGTTGCAACATTTCGTGGTTTCATTTTGCGCTCTCTTCCGCCGTCGCACACTGAAAGCTGCGCGTTTCGCCAACTTTGCTCTGAATTGGAGCGATGGGACTTCCTCTTAGAGACTCCAGACTTCATCGGTCTGATCGCGCTTTCTTCTCTACCCGCGCGCGTCCATGTGCGCACATTCAACACAATGTGAATTCTGCAGCTTTTCCCTGCAGGAGGAAAGTTTTCTGAACAGTTTTGGCGTTAGTCTCTGCAGTTTTAGGCATAGACGCGGCTGTTGGGGCGCAACGTGACTGTGTCGCGTCTCTCTGGGCTGTCATGCCTCCACTCTGTTTGCTCTCATTGGCTAAGACCCAACCGCCATTATTTGGCTGCAGGGCATTTAACAGGAACTGCGACAGGGCTGCAGTTAAGACGTCCTGTTAGATCAGTAAACTTTGCATCAGTGCTGTGTGGTGCTATTGAGGTAATGCTCTGTCTGGTCGGGAGCTATAGGACGGCTTTACATTGCAAAGTGTCTTGGAGTTAAACCTGACCCAGCTGCTGGCCAGATCTGCTCACATGTGCACGTATTGAACTGCCTCCCTCTGCTCAGAAAACGTTTGACCTTCAAAACTACATCTCCCACGTTTTATCTGCGCACATTTAAAGGGACAGTTCAGGATTTTTGAGCTGAGGCTCTGTTGAGAGTTTATGAGGCGTTAGTATCTTACCTGAATGAGACAAATCTCTCAACGTATTGATTTAATACAAATCCAGATTTGATAGATTTTAGATTTTAAATAGATTTTAATAGAGTATTAAGTTTACAAAATGTTATAATAAACATTCTGCTAAAAAAAAAAGTGTATTAAGACACTGATATTTTTGCAGGATAGATGTTTAGCCAAAAAAAACAAACTGTCTGACTTTCTGTTTGTAAATATTATATATCTAAGTCACATAGCCAGACTTTTGTGTCTGAGACTTTGAGTGCATTACTGAACATTACTTTAAATAATCACTGATTGCTAAAACAGATTTTAAAACAAATATTCACCTCATATGGCTGCTTTTCTCACCTGATGAGATGTGAAAGACTCATTCGGAAGTCTTGTGCAAGACAACCGAAAGTTCAAAAGGATGAACAGACCAATTTATCTGCAGATTTTCTCTTCATCTGGAGGCTCCGATTGAGATGCACCTGCATACGTAGTTTTGATTGGAAGCTATTCCTTGGATTTCAACATTTTACAGAGTTAATCTGCACATTTTATACATGTGCAGATTATTTTATTGATTCTACACCCGATAGGACCGCCATCTGGTTAAGACTTGCAGGATTTTTTTGGTCACATAAACACTCTTTATAAACACTATTGGACAACCGCTCAGTTGCCAAACTGCTCCTCTGTCAGCATCTGCAAGAGAAGTTACTCTTTTATCAGTTGTTTCTCTGTAATCTCAGTCCTCCCCTTCCTGTGTGTATCTTTTTTTTCTAAGTTTTGCATTTTCTCCTTTTTCGTCCTGCAGACAATGCGTCAGACCCCGGCGTTTGTGCCAAACAGATCTGGATAGATGCAGTTAAAATCGACGATCAGCTTTGTCTGACTTTCACAGACAATGGGAGCGGGATGACACCTAATAAACTGCACAAGATGCTCAGGTGAGAATTGAAACAAGACGTTTACGTGGAAAACACAAGAATCCATAGCATATCTAAAAATCAATTAAAAAATAATAATAACCAATTCATCACTGATCAATAATTGAATAATTAAATATTGTGTGTCATCAGTATTGTCATCCTGTTTCATTCCAGCTTTGGGTTCACAGAAAAAGGCTCAGGTAAAGCCAGCCAGCAGGCCATCGGCTTGTATGGAAACGGCTTCAAGTCCGGCTCCATGCGTCTGGGCCGGGATGCGCTCATCTTCACCAAAAATGGCGGCTGTCAGACTGTGGGACTGCTCTCTCAGACCTACCTGCAAAACATCAAAGCGCAGGCAGTCATTGTTCCCATAGTGCCCTTCAATCAACAGACCAATATCCTTTTAAAAAAACCCTAAGATGCAACACACTCTGTGTTTGTTGGTTATGATTAGTATCAATATGTGTTGAGATCTAATGTTGTTGTTGTTCTCATACAGGTACAGCAATAGCTCCAGCATAAATATCTCCATGGGTCCATCCTGCCTGTAAATGTGATGCGCTGTAATAAAATACGCTGTTGCATAGTTATGTGGCAAGTGAGAAATTTGATCATTTTGTAACTTAAGCAAATTTTTCAACACCAACTTGTATGGGCTTGTATATTGAGGTTTTGCTCTGAAGAGATCAACACCTTATACCATAATAATTAGGCTGCTACTTGTCCACAAAATTAGACCTGAAAGACTCTGAAAAGTCCAAAATTGAAAGAAGTGTTTCATAGGGATGCAGAACTGTTGGAATCGCAAAGATATTGGGGTGCGATCACAGAACCATCAAATATCCTGTTAAAAATATGCAACAGGGTCACAAAGCACATTGAAAAAATGTAAATGAACTGAAAGATTTGAGAAAAGCCTCCACAAACACATTTTCTTCAGTTGTGTTGTATCCACGGTGTTCAGGGCTCGGAGACACGGCCAAGGTTAGGGAGTTTAAAACCCGACCACACATGAACAAGACAAAAATGTTGAAACATCAAAACTGGGTTAAGAAATATCTGAAAACATACTCTCCAATTTTGTTACGCTCTGATTTATGAATCATGTGCAGATCTCTCTAAATCCACTTCCTCATTTGGCAAAAGCTCTCTTGTGCCCCTCTTAGTAAGGGAGAGTATTTTAAAGGAAAACAGTAATCCTCAGATAGCAAGGCCTGAGAGGCTGCGATTGTTACTGCATAAAAAGTTGATAAGAAAGCCAGAACCTCACTTTTCCTTCCTTAGATATTTAGGTTTTGACATTTATAAATACAGGAACTGACAACTCCAGTTGTTCAATAGTAAAGTGAATCCTAAACTATACAAACTGTTGAGAAAACAGCCTGTTTGTCAAAGTTTAATCAATATGATTTCATTCATTAATGGCAAGACAACCTGTAAGTAAAAAAAGAAAAACTAACTTCTCCCACTCCCCAGGTCCTGTGTTTAATCATAAATGGTCTTGGCCCAGTCAGAGTTTAGATCAGGACATGATGTGCTTTTTGACCTACTTCATGTTGTCAGACGAGTTCTGCCAAACGGATTTTGCAATCTGGCAGATGGCTGGTGAAATTATACTCAGCTTCTCATAAAACAAAAAATCTGGTTGATTGCATTTGATTCATTAAACAAGTGAGTGTAATTACTTACTTTTTCACTTAGACCCAAGTTTGTTTAGATGCCGCTTCGAACATGGCATTGGATTCCAAAAAATAAAATGGGGAAAAAATGTAATCTTATATTTGAGAAAATTAGGAAATGCCTTTTGTTAGTATAGTTTTAGTATTTAGCTTCTCTTTGACACTGAATGAAAGTATTCACTCCACCTGCCCCAGCAGCAGCTAGATTAAATGTGATCCTTTTGTGCTTTTCCACCCTACATGGGTTTGTTTGTCCTATAAGCGGCGGTACCACATATAGGTAGAGCCTCCTCTGGGTTCAAGGTTCAGGCTTTGTCAGCATAGTGGCTGAAAGGTTACAGTGGTTCTGATCCGAGATGTTGGATCCCAGACTTCTGGTGTGCTTGGTAGCCCTCAGTGATAAAGCTTGACTGTGTGTACGTGTGACATGCCAGCTTCCTGTTCTCATTCTTGCAAGAATTAATAATGTGTGAATATTAGCTACTGCTTGCTAACTAAGAGTGGCAGTTATTTAGGGGAAACAATTTTTTTTTATTTTAAGACCGAACACAAAACACAGCTTTTGTGCTCGGTCTGTAACAGAAGTCTCAGTCAGGACGCCCCATACTTATGTTTGCCCTGGGCGGGAAGCCGCGTATCAAAAGCCATCACTAGATGTAACCTTCAACACATGATCGGACCTTAACTCAGAACTACGGTCTCTGGTTGTGACCGAAGACTCAGAGGCCAGCCTGGCAGCCATTTTGCAACACTCCATCATCAAGTCCCAGGAGGAGATACTCACCCACTTCGACTCCATTCCTTCAAAAAAAGGCACCAAGATACTGATATGGAATATCCGCAGGTCAGAAACAGACACATTTTTGTGTTGTTTTAAGGAAATATTTGCATCATTGTAGATTGTCACAATTGTTTCTCTGATTTGGGTTCACTTGAGTGCTAGATGTTTGTTTCAAATGAAAACTTAAATGCATTTTAGTGTGAATAACTAATTTAGTCAGATGCATACAGAAGCAGATGTGTATAGGCTTGTTTAAGTTAGAGGACGAAAACGCACTTTATCACAGTCCTCCAGTTACTGCAGCACAAGCAGGACAAGTGTTTTTTTTTGTTCACTTCCTGTGAATATCTTGTAAAAAAAACAGATGGTAATCAAATTATTTGTTTAAGTTTCTCATAGTTTCTCACTTCCTCCTGATCATATTCTCTGTCCTCAGACATGTCGCACCGCAGATTAGAAAAAATGACTGCGTGACATTTAGAAGAAGTTTGAAGTAAAAGTCGATTCTGTAATTCAAACTTGGTTTTACTGTCATTTAGCTTTGCATAACAGATCCTTCTTTGCTCCTTTAACGCAGGTTCGGCGCTGGAAACTTGTTCTAACACTTATTTTGTTTTGTGTCCCTGAAGAGCCAAAGATGGTAAAACTGAGATAGAGTTCGACATCGACTCAAGTGACTTTCGTTTGCCTGAGATTCACTTTGAGGAGCTGAAGCAGGGCCTGAGGAACAACGGGTCCCTGAGACCAGAGCAAAACATCCCAGACATGTATTACAGCCTAAGGGTGAGCCAGCCGTTTCCTTATTTCAAGAATTAGTAATTTAGCCTCTGTTGGAGCATTGTGTTTATTTTAGCGTGGTGTGAGCGCATCAAGAGTCATTTCAGAACAGACTGATCATGTTACAGCTGTGAAACCCTTACGTCTGTTGAATCCTTGGCACAACAAACAGCATTTCACTGGGCAGATAAAAGTTTAAGTACAATACTGCTCAGAGCGCTATTAACGCAGGTGGAGCAGCTGCTCAGCACCATCGACAACATGGTGGCCCAAAACCACGGCGGCTGCTACAGCACAAAAATGCTGCAAGACTGGAAGAAACAGAACCAACAACCCATAATCCACCGCTTATTTCAGAGTGTCATTTGCTCCTTTAACGCAGGTTCGGCGCTGGAAACTCCAGTAACTCCTATTTTTTTGGCTAAAAATAGGAGTTACTGGAAATGAGCTCAATTCCCCTTTCTACCTCCCAAACAACAAAGCAAATAAGCAGCATGTTTAACCTAAAGCTGTACTTAAACTGTCTCTCTTATTAGTCTTCTTTAGATTTTTGAAAATTTTGAATATTCTACACAAAGCAGAATCTCAGAGCACCATGTTGAAATGCACAGCTTTTCCAGAGATGAGACTGAGACAGCACAAAAACTTTTAATATCACTTGCAAGTGGAGAACAACACAGGTAAAATCATAGCAAACTCTAGGTGTGTTCTGAGGAGGCTGAAACAATCACAGGATCATATACAGTTCCTTGGCGCACAGGAAGTGGGAGTCGTCTCAAATGCCCGATACCAAATTAGGACACATAGCATAAACAGGGGTACTCTGAACCAAATAAACAGCCAGAGGGGGAGGCATCATTTATCGAGCATCCTCCAAAGCTACACAGATAAGTTGAGCATCTCATCCTGTTCCCATAGTAGGGTGCGCTAACTATTTGTCATTTCTTCCCTTCCAGGCCGCTGGCCTTGGTCCTCTCTTTTACTTACACAAGGGAGATCTGTTCTATAAGACTATGAGTTACCAGGTGCAGCTGGATAGGAGAGAGAAGTAGAAAAACAGCTTATACAACTCAGAATATTTTATATATGGTAGATGTAATCTTAAATATTGTAGATAATTAATTTTTGCTCCACAACCAACCCATAGAAACATAAATTTAACAGTTGAAATAACAGCAAATAATGCAAAATTGAGCGTATAAAAAAGGAAAGTAGCACTGTCAGTTTGTCCTCCAGGAACCTAAACCTATAGCAGCTTAACTAGAGGTAGATCAAGATAACAGCTGGGCCAGTCAGTTATCTGGTGTGTGATGAAACTTTATTATTAAGGGCTTTACATGTAAGAAGGAGAATTTTATCAGGGAGCCAATGAAGGGAAGCTAAAGCTGGAGAAATGCGATCTGTTTTTAATTTTCATAGGAACTCTTGTTTTTGGGTGAGCTGGCTGCTTTTAACGGCATTCTGTGGACTTCCTCTTAGTAAGTGTAAGGATTACCTACATCCTGACTGAAAAGACCCCTCGGCTTCTGCCACAGTGATTTCCTGTTTCAGCTCAGTTTTAACATAACGTCAAAAAACGAGTCAAAGTCACAGACCTGGAAGAATAAAACAGCTACTGGAGTGGAGGGAAAGGAGGGAGCTGCCGCTTTGCTCATGTATTAAATCATACATGGAGATCGTTGAGTTTTTTCTGGAGATATTTCAGAAGCAATCTGCTGCACTTCCTCATTTTGCTTCCGAATGTTCTGGCCTTCACAAAAATAGCGCCTGGTTGCTTGGTAACTCTCAACCCGACCCTATCCAGCTGTGTTTAGCTACTCGTATGTTTTCACACTAAAGTGGGCAGGTTTCATTCTCCTGCAGCAGCTAGAAGTGAGGGTTGCTTTTCTCTGAGACGCCTTGGTTTCTGCTCCGCTACCAAACGCTTTAGCTTGCTTTGTTTATTTGCAGCACTCTCTAGTTCTTATTATAGACAGAAAGTGAGCTCAATGCAGCAGCTCTGGCCAACTTGGTCAGCTTGGTTTTTGCAGCAACCAGCGTAAAAAACAGGAAAAAAGCCGTTTTCAAATGACGAATCCATTTCTTAATGTTTTGATTTCCTGATCTTCCGCTTGTTGGTCCAGCAGCAAACTGGCACTGGATTGGCACAAACCAGTGCCGGACCAGAGCTAAAGCTTGGTGTGTTAGAAATCCAAAGAACTGGTGACCAGTAGTTGTTTGGACTGGTTTGGTGGAACAGGCTTCATATGAAAATGAACAATAACATTTCACAGAGGTTTCACAAAAAATCAAAAACAGAAGAAATCTGTAAGAGGGCAAATGCCTCTTCACAGCCCTGGATGGCTCACAGAGCTGAGTGGAGGACTGAAGCGTTTTGAGCATGCCCAGACTGAAACAGGTGCAGTGGTTGTGGTTCAGGTCAAGGTGAGCCCAACACACGTGATGGAGAAATGAGTGAGTGTAGCATTTTGAGCTCCAGTTTCAAGCAGAAACCAAGAACCTCTCCACCACCAAAGACATTTGCGGTTTTCTAGTAAGCCTCCCCCAGTTCCCCTTTGAAGCAGCCTGGAGGGTTTAACTAGTACAGCTCTGTTTCACCTGCTTTAGACTGTAAGGATCATAGTGGATTTTAGATTTGTGAAACAACTTTAAAGTTTGTTAAAAATTTATTTGATTTTGCTTTCACTTTAAATCAAGACAACTTGTCACCCCAAAAGTATAAATAAATAAAAAATCTGTTTAAAATATGTCAGAATTTGCATTTTCTTTTTGCCCGGTTGTTTTCTCAGGCCTACCTCAGTATCTTGTACCTGAAGCCGCGGACGCAGGTCATTCTGAGAGGGAAGAAAGTCCTGGCCAAGTTGGTGTCCAAGAGTCTGACTCACATCGAACATGACGTCTACAAACCTCAGTTTAGCGTATCCTTGTGTTACCCACATACTATATATTCTCAAACTAACCAGAAGTCAGAAGCTCTTGGCGTCAAGTATTTTATCGCGCCATTTATGTTTATTAATAGGGAATCATGGATTACAAAATGAACTGATACAGCTGAAAAGGGAAAATATTAATTTTAAAAACTTTATTATTACTATTATTGAAATTGATGGAAGTCACAATTATTTCCTTCAGTGAGTAAAAATATTTAATTCTGTTTAGAGTGTTTAATATTCAACACATTGCCTTCCTTTAATTATTTCAAGGCATTTTGCAAGGGTAATATTCTCTATGCAATACGAAGAGGCTTTAAAGTGTTAGAAAATTAATAATCCGGACTGATCAATTTTAATGAAGGACTGAGTTATCAGTTTGAGTTAGCTGCCTTAAAGCAGTGAATGCACAGAAGATAAAAAAAATACTTTAAATCATGGTAAGATCCATTATAAAATCTCCCTCAAGTGATGTGATCAAAAATGCCAGTCGTTAGTTATTTGGCTTCTGCATTGCTCTACATCTACTTCGTGAGCAAAGATATGTGAGTTTAATCATGTTTTTGTTTTTTATTTTAAAAATCTGAGGCGTGATCATGTGTAGTGCTGTTTCTCCCTAACTGGTGTCCATCAGAAAGAGAAGGTGAAGGTGACTTTTGGCGTAAACCCTAAGAAGAAGGAGCACTATGGCATCATGATGTACCACAGGAACCGACTCATTAAGGCCTACGAGAAAGTGGGCTGCCAGCTAAAGGTCACAAAAATTAGAATGCTTTATATACTTGGCATGTTATGAATGGATGGATGGATCTTATGCTGTTGTTTTTTGCAGGCCTCGGGTCAAAGGGTAGGCATCGGGGTGATCGGCATCATTGAGTGTAATTTTCTCAAACCTGCTCACAACAAGCAGGACTTTGAGTACACTAAAGAATACAGGTACATTGAAACAATGCTTAGTTGGCCTTATCTGCTTTTACTTTGTGTTTTTTTGTCTTTAGCATATTAGGGGGAAAAAATGTTAAATATGTGACTTTTTCTTTCTGCTGTCAAGACTCACCCTTGGTGCTCTGGGTCTTAAACTTAACGACTACTGGAGGGAGGTCACAGAGAAGAGGGCCAGGGAGAGAGAGTTTCAGGCTCTAGATAAAGAAGACAGCGAAGACCAAGAGGAGGAGGACGTGTGAGTCTTTGGTTTACCTCTTCTGTGTAGCAGATGAAAATAAGTCTGACCTCATTTTCATTATGTCACTGCTGACAACTCCTATGAACATTCAAGGCTCTATTCTCACTCCATTATTATTTTTATCTTATTACCTCCTCAAGCAGACATTATTCAGACTTTTGATTAACTTTTCTCCCATTTTTCATTCAGTTGCATTTGTCTTTTAAGGCACGGCGTTTACAACAGTTACAGAATTGGCTTGACTAGACTGGCTGATTGTTACCTTTTGGATTTTCTGCCAAAATGAGACAAAAAACTAGTGTGTACTCTTCAACCAGGAAGCTGTGCTTCACCCAAAATGGTGCTGCTAGAGTCCTGACTAACAGGAAACTGGATCATGTTACACCTGTTCCTAACTCCCAGTTTGAAAAATAGTAAATGCTGCTATTGGTCTAAAAAGCACTGAAGGTCTTGGGCCAAGATCACCAGGTTGCTTGTCAAGCGTGAACCAATTATGACCCTTCTGGTCTTTGAAGACCTACTTACTCATGGTTTCCAGGACAATGAGGCATTTAGCTTTAATGCTCTCTGTTCTGAACCAAACTCTCTGAAAACCTGAGAAGTGCAGAAATTGTTGGTTCCTTTAAATCAGGGTTTAAGACGTTTTTGTGCTTCAATCAGAAAATCTGAGAATTGACTGTTTGCCTGATCTTGTAAGTGTGAGAAACTAATATTTCTAACTAATATTAGAAAGTAATGTGTTCTAATATTTGTATAACATAAGTCAACACTTTTAAATGTGTGATGTATAAAGACCTTTTTAAGCAAAGTTGTTATTTTAATGTTTTTCTATGATCCACTCCAAAGCTCTGCTTGTGCAGGAGAGATGCTATGCAAATAAACTTCCTTTGCGTTATTTACTGAACTAGACAAAGCCTCTCATTCACAACTCCTACAGATTTCTGCCTCCATGTTAATGAGTTGAAACGAGAGAGAATGTGTTTTGTATTTATCACACTGCCTTCCTTCTGAGTTCAGAATTTCCTCTAAAGTATTAATCATCATATATGAAGCACAAAACGGTCAGACACTCATTTATTTCTGTAATCTTATGTACATAAATTCAGTTCTTTATTTTCTCTAGTTATAATAACAAAATTTACTTCTTTTAAGTTATTCTCTTTAAAAGTCTCTATCTCTTATCTCTTTAGCATTTCTGACTAGATTGTATGCAAATCCTTTCTCTTTAAGTTCATTGTAATTGATTATGTTTATTACCTGTGACATTTTGTCAGGTAACATGTCAACTCTATTAGCAAATGGAAAAATGTATATTCTTGTTTTTCAGCGTACATCCCCAATTTTCCTAAATGGAGATGGCGGATATAGTTAATGGAAAACTTTAAATGACCTTAAATAAGTGGTGACTCTTGAAAGTGTCTCCATCCACTGGCTGAATCCATCCTGGTCAGTTTTCTGCTTGAAAACGAAGGATGAAAAGACCGGTTTAAGACGAGAAAATACCCTGGAAATTAAAAAAAAAAAAGACTCTCTTTGTTGCTGCTCAACCACAATACTGAGCTATAATATTTATAATAATAATGATTTTATAAGTTCTTCAGCTGACCACGAGCTTTGTCTGTCTCTGCAGGTGTCCTGTGTGGCTACAGTGCGAGGAATGTCTGAAGTGGCGAAGTGTCCCACCACACCATTACAAAGTCATGCCAGAAAACTGGAGCTGCAGCCAGAATCCCAATCCACGTTACAGGTGGAGCGTTTTTTACATTGCTTCCAGTAGGAATATTCACTTTCATTGGACTTTTTTTTTTTTTTTTGGTTTTCTTTTAACCCACTTAATATAAAAAAGTGAATGCAACTTCTTTGCATGTGATGTTTTGGCTGCCAGTGTTTTTTGGGTGACTTTGAGCCACGCTGTATTTTAGCAGTGACTGATGTTGTGTTGGGCCTCATGGTTTTTGCAGAAGCTGCTCATCGCCAGAGGAAGCAGAGGAGAGCAGGGAACAGTTAACACCCAGCTACCAGAAAAGCCACAAGAAACTGTAAATTCCTTTTTCACAAGACCTCTCACACAAAACCTTTTCACACGACTTGCCTTCCTGCGTGCGTATCTGTACCATCTTGTGGTTTCCATTTTTCAGTTTCTTGCTCTTAAAAGTGAAGGCTGGGCTCTCCATGTGATAGGACATGCATCTGATAATCAGAAAGACATTTTTTGACTGAAGTGTGACTCAGTGAGTTTGTCATACACAACATGCAAGTGGTGGCGTGAATATCGCTTATGTCTGCTCTGAAAGGCAAATATTTTCATGTTTGTCGCTGCCAAAGGTTGTCAGAGAGCTAACATGTTACATTCTGAAGAAAATAATCTAGTGTCGATGCATTACACAGTGTTAAACCCAACAAAAAATCCTCACATCCTCACCTGTGTTTGCTGCATAAATAGTGTTTGTAGCTCTAGTTCTCCATCCTTCCACATACACTGAACATGTTACTGTGGAAAAGTCATGTTTAGTCCAGACAACAGATCATATTCCATTTATAGCAGCAGAAGGGGATAACCTTAAACATGACGTCACAGAGAACACAGGGTCATCCTCCATATATGGGAGTAACTTCCTGTTTTAGTGGGAATGATTCAAAAAGTATAATTTTTACCACAATAGTGGGTTTTTAAATGACTAATTTGCTTTAAATGAAAAGCAAACTTATTTATTCATACTTTCCATGTTTGGGGCTTTCCTTCCAAAAGTGTTTAAATTTTAACATGCATGCATAAGAAGCATACATTATGAAGTGTGGATGGGAAATGCTCTTTGCCGCTGCAACCCACTGTAGTGGTTTTGTGGCCTCAAACTTTTAAGCCTCAGCATTTAGCTTAAGGAAGTGAGATGACCAGAACTGACCATATTTGGAGGTGCATTGGGGCTCAGGAGGTCACGGGGTGGTGTGAGAAACCCGATAAGACAACAACATTGCAGGACAGACTCAGCATGCTCAGACTGTGTTTCAGCCCGTTTCCTGAGGTCAAATTCCAGAGTTAGATCCTTTGTTTCCTTCCTGGAAATTAGTTTCGTCCGTGGAGTCAAAACTCCACGTTAAAATGTTTACACACGCCTCACAGTTCTGCTGAAATTTATGCCAGTTAGCTGAATTGACTAAAGATAATTTAGCATTTCCTAGAAAGTCGCTCAAGGCTGTGTTGAGCATGGCATCGTTTTACCTTCATGACAAATTTATCATACTTCAGCTTAGATCTATTCTTGGTTATTTCTTTCAATAACAAGAGTGAAAAGAACATTCTCAAATCTTGCATGTTTCATCAAATACAGGATAAAAGCTCAAATATTTAAACCAGAATAATTTTGCTGTAATATGCATGTATTGAAAGCGTGGCTCTCGCTAGTTCTCCTGCAACCTTAATGAATTTGAGGTATTTCAAGACGTGTCTCAGAAAATTTTTTTTTTTTTCAAATTCCCCTTTATGTCTGTGTTTCCTCCTATTTCAGTTTTATATACTTTACTAATACTAGAAAATAACCAAATAATAGTTAGTCTTCTCTGTCTAATAACTTCTCACAGAGAAGTATTGCTGTGGGGCTTAGACATGGTGTGTTCACTGACCGAAAACAGATTGGATTTTTGAGTTTGTGTGCTGAGGATTACCCAACTTTGGTCATGTTTAAATAAATCTGCCGCTCTCTTTTCTTGAGATTAAGTCATATAGGAAGCACAGAAAAGCAAAGCTAGAGCGTTTCTGTTCTTGCACCCTGAAACACCTCGCAGGAATAGGATAATTTAGTGGGGCTAACAGAAACAGTGGTGTCACATGATTCTTACAATCTTAGGATTTTTATCAGAGCTGACTAGCAGTGTCTCAGCATAAGAAGAGTAAAGTTGACCTGGTATGAATTTCCCATTGGATGAAAGATTGTGTTAAAAACAAGATTAAATTATTTTATATGCAACCAAAGACCTAAAATCACCTACTAGTTTGACTATTAAGGTTAATAAATAAAGGTTATATTTATTATCTTGCTTTATCAACAAAGACCTGAACACTGACTGTTGTCCTAAATACTTTGACCTTTCTATCATTCTGGATATTTCTGTCCTCCAAGCAAAGGGAAACATGTAGGAGCCTTACTTCAGCCAGCTGACTGGCAGTGTGCATCAACATGTGTAACTCCTATTATTTATTTAAGAAGCACTTTAAACCATAGGAGCATTATCATGAAAAAATGTCATTATGTTATAACTTCAGCTAATTAAATCCTAATCCTAATGATAAAATGTGTTAGAGGCTCACATTTACAAAGTATCTTAAATAATTAACACGAACAGGAAAATGCAAATGCTTAAAGAGTCGGAAGAAAGAGTGCAAGTTTAATGCAAGTCATTAAAGGGAAGTTTCTTGGGTTTATTTTTACTCTAGACTTCAGCTTCATTTCTTTTGATATGACTGGGGACACTAAAAAAAGAAATCTGTCAAGGAGCAGAATGTGTTTTGACAGATTTAGGTGTGAAGAAGTGGTAAGTGCAGCTCCAGCAGGTTAATGGGGGATTTTCAGGACATTTCATTTTGAATAAAGCTGGATAGAGTTTGTCCATTAATGGTCTGCTATGCGTCTAAACTACGAGAGCACAGAATGAGAAAAATAATTAAACCACCAGGCTGAAGCCACACACTCTCAAAGTAAAACAAAAAAGTGGCTTAACGAGAAAATATTAACGTTTGATTTCTTTCTTCTCCAGCTTAATGTTGCTAAGATTCTCTTCATAAAGATAATTAAACAAGCAGAATGATGATAAAGTTTTCCACTTATTTCTGTTGAAATGTGATGTTTGAATTAAAATTAAAATAAATCAGAATCTGCCAGTTTTATGCATCATTTTAAGTATGTATGCTATGCGGTGCTTAAATAGTGGCATTATTTGGAGATTTCTCACTTACCGAACTTAAAGCAATTCCTGTTCTATTCTTCCTGAAGTTGAAACATTCTTTTAGGTTCACTTACTTCATTCTGACTCGCTCTTCATGTTTGTTTGGACAGGTTTGTTTCTCTTCATTTATAAATCAGTTCTTGTACTGTGGGAGCCAGTTTCACAACCAAAGGCATCAAGTAAATCATTATAAAGACGAGATGAGAAACCATTTGTTATCAGAAATCTGACATTAAAAGCTGATCACATATTGCCATTACTTTCTTTGAACAAAGATGTCCATTTAGGTTTCTAATGGGATAAATACTAGACTTTAATTTAATTTTCAGGTTAATCTGCTGCTCCTCAAATCGCTTTGCATGCTGAAGCAAATCTTAGAAGACCAAAACAGAGGTTAAGTTACGACACTACTAAGGACAAGGAAAGGATTTGAATTCCTAACTAAATGAATGGTGTGCAGTTGTTAAGAAAAAGCTTATTTCAGACTCTTGGGAAAATTGACTTGTGAACGTCTCTGTTTGCATCTAACCATGATGAATTAACTCGCCATGCTTCCAGAGTCTCACTGTGCTTTTGTTTCCTTCCAGAGAGCACTCCAAAAGCAGAAAACGAGAAAGATCGCAAGAGGTATGCGATACTTTTAGCAACAGTTTTTCCCAAACTGCATGTGTAAGGTTTTACGAGCGTACCTGGTTGTGTTGCAGGCATGGCACTCGGAGGAACAAGTAGAGAAGGATGAAAGTATTTCATCAGAGCGGCCTTATTCCCCGTCCAAACACAGTCCTGAACACAGTACGCATGAAAAGAGACTGGAACAGGACGAGGCGGATTTGCATAAAGACACTCACACAAATGATGCACAGACTCAGTTGGTAACACACTCCCAAGAGAAGGCTACTGGAAGAGATACGGTCATTAAACAGAAGAACGATGCTAAACAAGAGGAAAATGATCAGAGGCTTGAAGACAAGGAGGATGAGAAAAAGAGGGAGACAGCAGAGAAGGAAGAGGAGTACACAGACACTTTCAGGTGGGAAAAACTGAATCACCACAAGGGGGTGCTGTTGTTCGTGAAAAAACATGTTAAGTCAGGTAATTAAAAGTAGGTTTATGAACAGTGCTCAGGTTGAGTTTGGAGAAAAGATAAGATGTGTGTATAAATTTACAAACACAGCAACAGTAACCAAGTATTCTTTATGTTCTTTAGTTGCAAAAGAAAGTCTGGACCTATTTTCACCTACATGTCGAAAAAGCGCTGGAGACCGGAGCAGTCCGGAAACCCCACGGAGGATTTTCCTCCTGGGAAACAAACGAACACATTCAAGAAGGACAGCAGCAGCCCAGTGGAGAAGCCAAACGCTTTGCAGCAAACGCCGACCACCACCTGGAACTACTCGCCGCTGGCCACCCAGACTGTGATGGTGTCCCCGCTGAGGACAGAACGGCCGCAGAGCAAGGCGCTGCCTCCAGAGCTGGGCGAGCGGGAAGCTAAAGTGCAGAAGCTGGCTGCGTTGGAGAGGGAAGCTGAGCGGCTGCGGAGCCTTCTCGGGCTGGAGGTCTCCAAGACAACGCAAGGCACCATGACGACAGCTGATGGCGTTGTTGAGAAAGAAGGGATGGGGAGACCTACAGCATCCACAACCAGCAAGGACGTCGGCTGTCAGACAGTCACGGTTGAGGTCTGCACAGATTATTAGAAATCATTTTTCTAATTATAAAATTGGATTGGTTTACAATTTTATCTACGCAGTCAGTTTGGTGTGTTATTTTTTAACATGTCATTCCTTTGATTTAGAATGGCTGAGCAAACCCACTTAAGCAATGTGGCCTCATTAGCAAATCTAAAGGAAATACATTTTTCTTCTGCTTATGCTGTAATTTGACTGCAGAAAAGTAGCGTCAATTAAAAAGCTAACTGGGAAAGTACAAAACTGGAACCTGGAAGTGTCGTGCAGCAGTCTGTAAATGCTCTGTGTCCAGCAGTGCGCCGCCTCGGTGCCGGACGTGGCTGCAGCCCTGGAGAGCAGACTGAGGAAGGAGAGGAGTGAAGGTCAGAGCAGAGTGAGAGCGAGTGATGGTGACACCTGCGACGACAGCAGGTAAGTATTTCAGATATTCAGACAGCGCAGTAACACACAAACACACATTAAGCTCAAGCTAGACATGGACCATTCTACCTCTTCATCTTTGTGTTTTCTGTGATTTTTTTATGGTGTAACAAATTAGGTAGTTTTTAGAGCTTTTGTTTTGTTTTTATTCAAATCTGAAAGGTTTGGCATCCATAATTCAGTCTAAGTAGAAACTATTTTAAAGCTTTCAAGGTATTACAAGGAAACCAGTCAAAGTTGACCAGGTAATGGTTGGAGATAAAAACAAGGCGCGTCTGGAAGAACAAATTGTTAGAAGCTGCAAAAAACTGGCGAAAAGGTTCACCGTCCATCAGAACAATGAGACTGAACACAAAAGCAATGGAGCAATTTACAGTGAGGAATAATCCTGATCTGGAACGGTCCAGTGAAAATCCAGACCTAAATCCAATGGAAAATCTGAGAATGGACTTGAAAACTGATTGTCTCAGATGCTTCAAACCGACTGAACTTAAGCTGTTTGGGAAAAAGGATGGAAACGAGCTGGTAGCCATAACCCAGAAAGCCTGCAGCTTCTTGTTTTTTTTATTAATGGCTTCTATCAAATCAGAGACCTTAAGCAGACTTCTAAGAGCATTTAATAATTGATTAAATGATTAAAAAATGTCCATGATTAAAAAAATGTCCAAATTTTTAAATGCCATGAGGCGTTTAAAAAATGCCCTGTGGCATTTTTTAAATGTTTATTATTGTCAAGGTGGAGACCTTTTTTTTTTAGCTTCACAATTTTGTGCTACTTTGTGTCAATCTATGGCAATCCAAATCAGTTTGAGTTTGTAACAAAATATTTGGGAAACAACTGTTAAAAAAAGCTCTCAATTTTAAACTGATCAAATCAGTTTGTGCTTAACAGATTTTTAAAGTGTTGGCAATTCAACCTTCAATCGCTATTTAAATCTTTCCTCCCATCAGATCATCTCAGCAGAATCTGCGCGACATCCGTAATAACGTGGTGGTGCTCCTCACCGCCCTGCTGCCCCAGCTGGACCTGGCCGGTATCAGCTTAGAGACAGCAGACGTGGACAACATCCTGCAGCAGATCATAGAGGTTAACTCACTGAAACTATGAGCCCCTCCCAAGTCCTGCGCAAGATGGGTCTCCTGTGTGTCCTGCAAAGGAATACTCTAAACACCCAGGTTCTTCCTTCACACCATTTATTTTCTTACCTCATGGCATCGGCTCGTTTGAAGATTCCTGAGTCCACCGGATGTAGATCACTGAAAAGCAGCATCTCATGGTAGATCAGACAGTGTCTCACATGTAGTGGAGAACTACATGACGTATTTAAGAATTTGTTCCAATAGACTTTGCACACTTCTCCAACTCCTTAACCGTTCAACACAGGAGGGAAAGAAGGTCGTTTTACTGCATAAGCTTATTAAGATGATGCTATTCCTCGTCAAAACTAGAAGTGGTCATAGAGAGTTATACATTATAGCATATAAATACATTCACTGTACAATACGGATTACTGCAAAGGTTTTTGAAGCCTTTCATAGGGAATCTTTCTGATGGAAATATTTTTGTTTAAAGCAGGGACAAATTACATAAAACGCTGTCGTGCAAAAGTCACTGTCATGTAATGTCTGTTTTTCTTCACATGGATTAAAGTCTACTTTCTATTAGTTATTGACCTTTTGTGTACAATTGTTTTACTTATTTAACTGCAACTTGTGGAAACGTTACTTTAAATATTGTGGAGTCTCTGTTCAGAGCCCGTCTACTGTAAAAAGGCTGTTCTTTTTTATCTAAAACTGCATGCCAGATTTTAACGTTTGTGTTTGGCCTATTTGTTTTACATATGCTTTTAAAACCTGATGTATGCATTTGTCATGGAGCTCTGTTAATGAGATGGGAGAGTTTTCATCTGTCCAAAATGAAAGCTTTGTGTTTGGAGTAAATATTGAAACCATTTATTGTGTTCTGTCTCTATTTTTATTTCATGCAAGCATTGTGTTATTTTACAGTGCAGTGCCTGTATTGATTGAACAAACGGTTTTTGTAGTTTTGCCACAGGGTGGCAGCAAAGTTTGAGGTCAAATATTTTTCGCCGACATCCCAATGAGGAGGCACTGATGAGAGCAGGTTCCTCATTATATATCCTTTATTTTATTGGCTATTATGCAAAATTCACAAAGGCATAACAATTATGAAACTATGCCAAAAGAACAATATTCCGTGGTTTATATTTGTATTGATCTGTCCAGTTTGATTAAAATGGGTACCTTTAGTCTTCAAGTAAATAGTTTGATATAGTTTGAAAGCCAGGCAGAGATTCAAAACTGCCATAAAGCTTTATTAAACTATTGTTAGATAATGTCCATAATCTTATATGAATTTTCTGCCTATTAAAACATTTATTCTTTATGGATTGTGATTGCTACCCATTGCAAGGCATCCATCCTTCTGATCACTGTAACTGTGGAAGCATCCAAGATGTCAGAAACGTTCTAAATGTTCTGAGAAATGATGTTTCCTCTGCATAAAATCCTCCTTTACATCATCGCTCCTTTGTTTTACACGAAACATAAAGGTTTCCCAAATAGACAAGACATTTAAGAATAATGAAGTCCAGGCTAACCCAGTCTATGTACTGCATTTTCACTGAAAATGTGTTTTTAGTTGTTTTTTTGTTTTTATTTTTTGTAGATGTTTTTAATGTCAAAGTGTGTTTTTAAAAATCTGTATGTAAACCATGTGATGCTCACATTGAGTCCTGAAAGAGATTAACTTATTTTTAATTTTGGCTTCTCTTTTCGTGTTTCATTTCAATTATGTTTGTTTGTAATAAAAAAAAAACTCATTTTTTTTCTGAGTGGATAAATAACTTCATAAATACATAAAGACACATTTATGCTTTATTTCATCAATAGCTTCTCATTTGTTCATTCATAACTTCTTTTAAATTGCTAAACCTTTACAATGATGCCAAGCTAAGTCATTTTAATGGTTATAGTGCAGCTACAAGTGAGTTTTATTGCTATGGCGTCTCCAACGCAAACTTCTCTTCCAAACTAACGTGACGTCACCACTGCGTGCTCCTCTCCCACGCGCCCCCCGCCCCACCCCACGTGCTCTTCTTTCACCCTCTTCTTGACCTTCCTCTCCTCCCTCCTCCCTTAAATACCGGAGCCAAGAGGAGGCGCAGCAGAGCCTGGAGAGCTTTACGCACGGGGACGTCGAAGTGGCGCTAACAGGTGCGCACACAGAAGGGATGAGGACACAGCTGCTGCTGCTCCTGCTGCCGCTGCTCCTCTGCTGCTCCGCCGGGGAGGCCCAGCATGACGCGGTGAGGGAGTACTTCATCGCAGTGGTGGAGGTCGGATGGGACTACATCCACCTGGACGCGTCCGAGCAAAGGTCAGCAGCCCCGACTGCAGCTGCTTTAAATCTGTTTGGTGTGAATGGCCAGAGAAAAGTGTGGTGCAGCACTTTGTTTCTGAGTTTGTCTCATAGCTGACCAGTTCTTCATTTTCTTCAGAGGAAACCTCAAAAACATTCCTCAGAAATACATCAAGGCGGTTTACAGGGAGTACACAGATGCTGCGTTCACTGTCCCCAGACCGAGACCAGCCTGGACAGGTGGGTGGAGCACACTTTCATTTACACTTATACTTAATGAATGAATGAATAAATGAATGAATGAACACAGCAAGTGGCGCCTCTTGGAAGCTTTGTGAATGGAAGAGCATTAATAATTTTGCCAATGCAGAATTTCAGGAATTTCATTCAGTTGACTGTGAAAATGGAAATGTAGTTAGATATATATTTTTAATTATCTATTTATTTAAAAGAAAAAATAATAATCTATAGGTAAGCATCTTCATACAAAGCAGTTGATTTCAATATGCAGACTCACATATGTGTATTTTTTTTTAAATTTCCCAAAAGTGAAACATTTTAAAATTCTGCCACTCTCCTAACATTATCATGTATGCCTGATATCTCGTGAAGGCTTGGAGCCAAAAACGAGGGAGGAAAACTCTTATCAAGAGACTACAATCAAGCATTTTAATATGCCATTAATTATAAACCAATAAATGCTGCAATCCATCAATATTTCTCATATCCTCTCATACATCCAAACAATATATGATTATACTATATATTGCTACTGCAACAACATAAGTAATAATAATAATATGAAGATGATCATCCCTCCTCCCTCCTACGCTCTCACTGAATCTAGTGTAAACTTTTTCACACGAACAAACGTCATATCTGTTTGAAAATGTTAAAATGATAGCATCTCATATTATGTGATGGCAGGTATTCAGGGCCCAGTGATTGTGGCCCAGGCTGGGGAGAGAGTGGTGGTCCACTTCAAAAACCTGGCGTCTCAGCCCTACAGCATCAGCCCTGTGGGGATCACCTACTGGAAGCAGTCCGAAGGTAACCACCAAAATACTCAAAGTTGCTCCTGGAACACAGCGACATGAGTAAAACATTAGTGAGCAGCATTCCCCTCTCCTTGGTCAAATAATGAGCAACAGATTGACTCAGATGGTTGACTCATGGTGGGGTTTCAAGACCTGTTGCAGTGCAGATGAGGAAATGGAAAACTCAGACAGAAATAGCTGCATACTGCCTGCTTACTGTTTCAGTGAGATACGTTACCATGTGGGATTATTTAATAGTTTGAGTCACTACATTGTAGTTTCCTTTTTTAAGGACCTTGACATGAAGCAGTTTTTACAACATTATTATCAATAAACTGTGAAAAAATGCTTTCAATGAACAGGAACCCCCATGAAAAAAAATTAAAAATCCCTCGTGATTCTCAAGAAGTGCCAGAGAACAACGGTCACTATTATCTCATGTGTGCAGATCTTTTGCGGGTTGCAGGAGCCAAACTGCTCATCTCTCTGGCTCTTATGAGAATCATGTACCCACGTGTGGCGCTTCATAGTTAATCTCGTTCGCAGACAGCACTGGATTAGACTCTAATGCTGCTAACGTGTCCCAAAGCATCACTTCCTGCAAACGGCTCGATTCCGAAAATCGACTTTGTAAACTGAAAAGCTGCTTTTGTCACGTTCGGGATTTAAGTCTATTCAGCATTCTGCCTTTGTTATTTTTATATTCTGTCACATCACAACTGCAAAATGTAACACATTTTATTTGAATTTTATCTGAAAGACCAACACTAAAGAGTGGATCATTTTAAAGTTGATGAAAAAAAATTTTTTTTGAGCTGTTTTGATGTCCATTTGTCTAATTAATGTTTTTTCCTGTGAGTCACTGCTTCCCAAACAACTTTAATTACTCCCTGACATTTTTTCATCCATTTTTTCCCCCGATCTTTAGACCTTTAGTGGGAGAAGATTTTCCTCTTTTGATCCGCCTTTGGGAGCCAAAACAACTCATGCATTATCCTCTCATTACAGGAGCTGGATATGATGACTCCACTGCTGGTCAGGAGAAGGAGGATGATGCCGTCCAGCCCGGCGGATATTATGAGTACGTCTGGGACATCAGCCTCAGCGATGGCCCGACCATCAGTGATCCTGACTGCCTCACGTACTCGTACTCCTCCCAGGTGGACACGGTGCGAGACATGAACTCTGGACTCATCGGCGCCCTGCTCATCTGCAAATCAAGTCAGTGAGCTGCTGGAAATGATTACTAAAAATACATACAGTAGTCCTCATTCACAGAAGCTGGTAGTTTAGAAAGAGTAAAAATGCTTTATTTCAGATTTAAATCCTGGATATTTCACCAAATAAGTCATTTAACTTTAAAATCCTGCATCAGGCGCTTTCACAGAGGACGGCCAGAGGAGATTCCAGGCATTTGTCCTTCTGTTTGCCGTGTTCGATGAGACTAAAAGCTGGTATGGAGAGGTGGGGGAGAGAACGAGCAGGGAGAAGTTCAGGAGAAGTGATGGCAGGAACGAATACCACACCATCAATGGATACGTCAACGCCACTTTACCTGGTAAGCTGCCGAACACGCCTTAGAAGACGTTGCTGCATACTTGCATGCTGAAATGTTAAGCACGTCCAACACTTTGCTCAGTGATTACACTGAATCCGTCTCTGTCAATGCGCAGGTTTAACAGTGTGTCAGGGTAATGACCTGGTGTCTTGGCATATGATCGGGTTGGGCACTACTCCAGAAATCCACTCCATTCGCTTCCAGGCTCACACACTGCAGGTAAACAAAGACTTCAGATAAGAGGCAGTCACAGCAGACCGGTCAGGGACGTCTGCCAGATAAGAAGCTTGCAGAGCGCTCAGGAAATGCTTCATGTCTGCAGTGTTGGAGGTCCAGCAGGTCTCCTTCTGGCATTTGTGTCAAGAACTGCACGATATAGCCTGAGTTACTACAGAGAATTGACCTTTATCTGTGAGATTGTGTTTGTTCATCCAAGAGCATAACAGCATCTTTGTTGGCTGCACACATAAACCGGAGAACTCTGAAAAAAAGTGGAGCCCTTCTTTCTACAGGCAGCTTTTAAATGTGAAAAAATAATAATAAAGCAAGGTGTTCCCATACAAGATGAGTCCTTAAATTATTTTACTGTCTAATCAGTTCATCATTATCACTCTTGTCTGTAACATATATTAAAATATATTAAAATAGGATGACATAAGGATTTGTTTTCTTCAATGGTGGAACCATATAAAATAGAATAGACAATTTAAAGAGTCTAATATCGAAATGAAATCTATGTATTATGAATTGTTTATTTCCAGGTACTGACCCATCGTAAAGTCACAGTGGAAGTGACTCCAATGACATTCATCACTGCAGAAATGAGACCAGCAACCAAGGGCCAGTTCCTCATCAGCTGTCAGATCCACGCTCATCGATATGGTAAAGAACAAAAAAATCTGTTTATCTGATTAGAATATAATCACAACTCCTCAAGTTTCGAATAACCAACATTACCCAACATTTCATAGATGGCATGAATGCATTGTTTACGGTGGAGAAATGCCCGGAACCCGTCACCAAGGAACTGCGCAAAGTTAAAGAAGAAGTTATTGACTATGATTATGCGTTCGAGATACGACAATCTCCAACAAAAAAGCCACAAGTCCAACCCAGATCCGGCGGAGGACCGAGCCGCTCGTTCTTAAACCACTATATTGCTGCTGAGGAAGTCACCTGGAACTACGCTCCTCATCTGAAACCCACAGACAGGTGAGGAAATGTGGAAGGAAAGAGGGAAAAGCATAAATATTTGTTGCTAAACAAATTCTTTCCCTTCTTTTTCTTCCTATCAGTGAATTACAGTCCAGATATTTGCCTGCTTCTCCCCATCACCTTGGCTACACATATAAGAAGGTTGTGTATGTTGAATACACAGATCACACCTTCACTGTGAGGAAGAATCCCTCTCAGACTCTGCTGGGTCCCCTACTGAAAGGAAGAGTCAATGATCAAATCTATGTGAGTTGTTTGAAAGTCTGATTCGCGCATACTAACAGTCTGCTCTGTTTGAGAATTGTTTTTATTTATCTGCCTTTTGTTGATTTGTTCCAGATTGCTTTTAGAAACTTAGCCAGTCGCCCTTTCAATATCTACCCCAATGGCCTGACCACCGTCCTTCCAGGACCGGGATACACTGATGGTAAGCCTAAGCTCTAAAAAAAATCTGCAGTCACTGTGTTTATGGATAATTAAAGAGATGTCCTCAGGCTCCGGATGTCCGTTGGGTGCTGGTGCAAGTTTGTGTTTTCAGTAGCGCAACAGGGCAAAGGAGGAAGTGTGATTCTGCCGCAATCACAGAAACCACCAGAGTGGCACATTCTCACAAGGGCATATCGAGGGTGAATTTAGAATGGAATAGAATAACAATAACAATAATATGCATTGCATGTATATTGGACATTAAAAAAAGATAGACTATTTACAATGCAGTTTATCAATGCAGAAAATCAGATGTGCAATAAGACCCGAAATATCATTTTAAAAATGCTATTGGGCTGTGCCTGCTAAAAGATTTATCTTCTCTGAACTTTATCAGTTTTATCATTTTACACTCATGCACTGGATTTTATGCCATAAATCAATAAGATCTAAATTAAATCTGTCCCCAAATTTCAGTAAAATCATTTTAAAATGTTAAAATAATACCTCTTTGAGCTCCCTGTCTTTTCATTTGTAACTTCTTTGTGCTTTCATGGCATTGCTTTTATCAAATCATATAACCATGTTTGTATTCATTAATATTAAGCAAATATCTGTTTATTTTAGTAGTCAATCGTAGTTACTGACAGATGATTCTATTCTGCTAATTTGTAAATTATTCACCTATTTCTGCAAATCTATGATTCTCTGGTTTATATTTACTTATAAAATAAACAGGTGAACACCAACCAAAAAGCTTAACTTTAAATAAAGTTTTGATCATTTAAAATTTCTAAGAAAGGTTCACTACATATGATAATCTTATTTATCATTTGTAGTGACAATCTACATATGATAGGTGAAACTGCCTTCCAAAGGCAGTTTTTCTGACAAAATTTGTATTAAAATAAACAAGTCTTTAATTCAAAAACAAAAACTTTAATTTTTTTATTTAAAATAATTTTTTTTAGTGACTATATATTTCTTTCCTCCCGCTTCACCTATGCATTCGTCTTTCATGTGAAATCCTGAACAGCTCAATAAAATGAGCAGAACCTCATGAATCTTTGAAGATCTTCTCATTAGTATCAGTTTTTCTTCAACCTGCTCAAATCTCTGTGAACAGCTGCTGGGCTTGACCTGCGTACATTGGGAGTTCCACCCAACAGGACGTTTGTGTACATTTGGAAGCTAACTTCAGATGACGGACCTTTGGATGGAGACCCCCAGTGCCTGACTCAGCTGTATCAAAGCACCATCTCCCCAGAGCAGGACCTGGCCTCGGGGTTGGTGGGAACCCTACTCATCTGCAAGCACAAGGCTATTGACCGCAGAGGAAATCTGGTGAGATGAAAGAAGCGTCAGACACATACTCTCCTTACTGTGTACTAAGGCTTTTTTGTTTACGCATTCCTTGAAGCTGGGCCCCGACCAGAAACAAAGTCTCATATTTGCTGTGTTTGATGAGAACAGAAGTTGGTACTTTAAGGAAAACATGAAGAGGTCAACTCAAAGCTCCTACAACACCACAGACCCGGAGTTCTATGAGTCCAATGTCATCTACAGTGAGTTCAACCTGTTTGCATTTGTTTTTTTTGTCTCTTTAGATTTTTCCACCATTTTTAGGGGATAGTGTGAAAACAAAAACGTGTGCCTTGAATGTTCCTCCCCCTCCAGGTATAAACGGCACCATGTTTAGCGGGCGTCAGTTTGTCATGTGTCATACGGATGTTCCCTTCTGGCACGTGGCCAACGTGGGAACCCAGAGTGATTTCCTCTCCGTCTATTTCACCGGAAACCTGTTTCAGTACCAAGGCCTCTACCAGTCTGTTCTCACCCTCTTCCCCATGACGGCTGTAACTATTCCCATGGAGGCAGAAAAGATTGGTGAGAGAAAAGCTCACATTATCACCCAGTTCCTCACATGAACATGTTCAGAGATTCTAGTTTAATTGGCGATACATAAATGTATTCGAAGTGGTGGGAGTTGCCATTCAGAGGATTCCCATGATCAACACAATACTTCTAAATGCTCTACATTTCATATAGTGTGGATTGAAATATAAGGTTTGAACAACATGGAGTCCTTTATCAGTTCTTATCAACCATTTTTATACATTTTTAAACATTAATGTGTTTCTTTGGGATTTTATGCGATAAATGAAGACATAACTGAGAAATGGAAAAATTATCTTTAGCAAACAGAATCATAAACGGGGAGCAGGCATTTTTATGTAGTTTCCTGAGTCCATACTTTGTGGAACGGTACTCTGCTGTGGTTACAGCTACAGCTTGCCACATGTAGAGTTTGAACATTATTATGGATATTCTATACAAGAGCTTAAGTCCAGTGAGATACAAAGGAGAGTGTCTGTGAGCATTAATGTTCTTGTCTTACCACATATTCTCTATTGGATTTACATCTGTACTTTGACTGGGCCATTCTATCATATCAATATGCTTTGTTCTAAACCAGCTATTTGGACCAAAAATCCTTGATACACAAATACACATGTGCCAGAAAATGTGTTTACTTTTAATTAAAAACACAAAAAAATTGTTGCACTGTTAAATTTTAATTAACATATTGTTAATTAAAATGTATAGTATGTAAACAACAGTATGTAAATTTTAATTGTTGGTCCAAGCATTTCTTACTGAAAACAGCTTGGACCTATAATTTCACAAAAAGCGACTTGCATCCTGCTTCCATTTTCACTTTCTTTCGTTAAACAGAAAGTCTCATTTCTATAAAAAGTTCAGATTTGTGAGGTACACAAATAATTTCTGTCCAATTGACAGATTCTCACACCTGAGCTGTGGATCCGTGCGGCTCCTCCAGAGTCTCTTCATATTGCTCCCAATGAAAATAATGTGTTCTTTCCTTTCACTTCACAGTCATAAGCTCATGGGTGCTTTACATGCAATCCTAGTACAATACATTACATTTTTGGTTGAACATGTAAAAAAATATATTTTAAAAAAGTTTAACGTCTGAATACTGCTGCATACTACATCCTGACTTTCTCTTCCAGGTGAGTGGGAGATAAGTGCCTTTGACAGCAAGCTTAGAAATCGGGGAATGACGATCCGCTACACTGTCCGTGTCTGCAGAGAGTTTTCTCTGGTCGACCGCCAGGAGGATGAAGATATCTCTGAATATATGGACAATGCACTTTTGCAACCGAGGGGCTTGAGACCTCAGAATGGCACAATGTTGGTTCGAGTGTGCAAAAAACCTGTCGCCAACAACACTATTGGTCAAAATGTAACTTTGGGTGAAGACGCACATGGCCTGTGTCAGCTGAAGAGAGTGCCGGTGGCGTCAGTAAAAAGGGAAGAAGTTCCCTCCGAGGTGGGGATCCCAGAAGATGTCCTGGAAGAAGTAGAGAGAGATGGGGGCTGGGCAACTCCTGAAAATATGACGAAAGCAGAAAAAAACAGAGGTGGGAGACAGAAACGAGAGGCAGGTGGGAACTGGACAGAGAACAATGACATCATACTAAATGGTGATGCATCAGAAAGTCAACAGGTCCTCTCTGAAAACTTAATCTCTCCGGTGGAGGAAATGGGTGAAAACTACATCTATTCAGAATCCGAGGGTCTTTTAGATGATCTGTTGGATCTGGAATACAACTTCACTGATAGCAGCACAACAGAGGTCAATCTGTCCTTTGCGTATGATGACTACAACAGTGAGGTACGCATGTTTAGTTTTTGTCTTATTCAGGAGAATCCAAATCTTCTGCTTCACTGCTTTAAATGTTTAACTGTTTCAACAGGTGAACGGTTCATCACAAATATTTGGCATGGGCTTAGCTGGTCCGCGCTCTGGAGAAACCAAACCCCGCAATTACTACATCGCCGCAGATGAAATCACATGGGATTATGGCATCAAAACACCGTATCAACTCATTAAACCCAGGTGGGAATAAAAGTCTGACCAAACTTGGACTATTTTTGCAAAGTAGTGTATGACTGTCTAGAATTGTTAAGGTAATAACTACATAACTTTGCAGACTTGTAACTGAAATTGCTGTGAAAGGTGGTTCTACAAGAGAACAGACACAGTGATTCTTCTTGCTCGCTGAAACAGCAGTTCTACTTGATTTTCCTCAAATCAGAGAGATGCGTCGAGGGATGAGGAAGTTCCTTCCTCAATATACAAAGGTGGTGTATCGCGCTTACGTGGATAAAGACTTCAAGCAGCCCATCATCAGAGGAGAGCTTGAGGAACACTTGGGAATCATGGGACCTGTCATCAGAACTGAAGTGAACGATCTCCTCACAGTGAGTTTCTTTCTCTGTAAGGAAAGAAGCATAAGAAAAGTTTTTTGTTCCTCTTCTTCCTGCTTGTTTGTGATCTGTCATAGAAAATAGGTACATTTTGTTAATGACCAGAGTACAAATATCTCTGATTATGAAGTCAGATCTAATGTTTCTCATTTGTGCTGTGTCCTAACTCAGGTGACCTTTAAGAACAATGCCAAGAGACCCTACTCCCTTCATCTTCATGGAGTGTATGACCGCATCCAGCATGTTAGCTCCGCACAGAGCAGTGCATCCTTTGGTATTCCTGGAGAACCTGTACCTCCAGGACAGACCCGGACTTACAACTGGAAAATTAGTGAGAAACAAGGACCCTCTGATCCTGAGTTTAACTGCAAGACTGGAGCTTACTACTCCACTGTGGACAAGGTCTGCTGCTGTTTTACTGACACATTCAAAAACTGATTCATGTAGCAAACATCCTCGCTTAATTTCTTTGTCTCATACAGGAGAGGGACCTTCACTCTGGTCTGATTGGTCCCCTTGTGATCTGTAAGTCTGGAACCTTGCAGACTTTCAAATGGCAGAATAGCCTCAATATGCAACCAGACATCCAGGATTTCTCCCTGCTCTTCCACACCTTTGATGAAACTAAAAGCTGGTACCATGAAGAGAACCTGCTGAGGTACTGCTCTCCCCCCTGTCAGGCCAACACACAGGATCCCTGGTACCACACCAGCAATAAGTTTGCAGGTGACTCATTGTGTTTCTTGTAAAGCTTGCTTTTTCTGCTTGGTAATGAGTCTATTAACAAAAGAAATTTATATTTTTCCTTAGCCATAAATGGCTATGTGGCCGAGACTCTTCCTGGTTTGGTTCTGGCCCAGCATCAGCCAGTGAGGTGGCACCTTCTTAATGTTGGAGGCGACAGAGAGTTCCATGCTGTTCACTTCCATGGTTTGCCTTTCACTGTCCATGCTAAACAAGAACATCGTATGGGTGTCTTCAACCTGTTTCCTGGTAAAAACACAAACTCAAACACACATTTGTATCCATACTTTCCCTAGAAGGGGGCCAGACTTTCTTTGTGTCTTTTTATGATCAATAGTGATAGTTTGGAATTCTGTTGTTCCCTTGCATGTGTGTGTTCTCTCCAGGGACTCCAACATCCTCCTATATTCCAAAAGCCTGACAGTAAATTTACTAGTCTCTCTAAATTATTTGGTTGTTTGGCCTTTTTGCTTCTGTTTTGGCCTCTGATGGACAGGCGTCCTGTCCAGACTGTACCTAAGCACGTCACAATTACTTCTGGATATAAGCATCAATCAACCTTGTGGTTGTTTTGATGTTGCTGACTCTTTTTGCCATCCAAACTGTTTTAAACTATTTTGGCAAGCACTGAATGCTAACTTATGAATAAACAGTATCATAAAATCAAAGTCTAAAAAAAAAAAATGTGTTCTGTAAAAACCAATAATGAAGATTAATTAATTATTAAGAAATAAATACATTTCTATGCAGCATGAACTTTCCATATCTTTCTCTGTCTCACTCATTGCTCTGTTCTCATTCCTGAAGGTGTTTTTGGCACGGTGGAGATGAAACCTCCGACGGTTGGGACATGGTTAGTGGAGTGCACCATCGGTGAATACCAGATGGCTGGGATGAGAGCCAAACTCTTGGTCTATGATCCAAGTAGGTGCACACATGTCCTAGTGACAGAAGCACTGACTGAATTGGATGCTTTTGAATCGTACTGTGTTACTGGATCTAATCTGAGATAGGTATTAAAATTCCTGGGACATGCATATCTATAAGAAAAACTCCCCAAACTCAATGAGACTCTAATTTCAGAGTTGAGTTATGTCAGAATCCCCTCATTGCTCAGGGTAATATCTGAAGTTTCATTAGTTACAGAAAAGGTCAAAATGCTGAAACCCATTTCACAACTGAAATTTAAATCCTGCATGCTGTTTGCTTAAATGTGTATTTTATATTTTAGGAACACTGACACACTTTACTAAACTTTTTTTTTGATGTTGTGACATACAGAATGTGTTTTACCTCTGGGAATGAAATCAGGGTGGATTGAAGACTCCCAGATTACAGCGTCAGATCACAGCGGTGAGACCAGCTGGGTTTTTCTTTTATATGCAACAGGCGTTTCAATGTGGCAATACCAAAAGAATTAGCTCAATAATCAGTCAATCTAAAGAAAATACCTCAGCTTTATGAAATACAAACATCAGGAAGTAAGATGGGGTTATGGTCTTTATGTTGGCTTTTGTTTATGTTTCCAGGTAACTGGGAGCCAAGGCTGGCAAGACTTGATATGACTGGTTTTTATAACGCCTGGATGGGAAAAGGCAAAAATTCGTGGTTGCAAGTATGACATTCTGAGCATTTACACCTGACACACAGCCAAAGTTGAGGTATTGTTGTGAAACAGCGAGTGTAAAATCATTTGTGGTTTCAGGTTGATCTTCTGAGGCCGACCCTGTTACATGGCATCAAGACACAAGGAGTGAGCTCGAAGCTGAGGGACCACTTCACCGCCACCTTCAAAGTGTCTTACAGCCTCGACCAAGAGACTTGGACCACTTACAGGGGAAACAGCTCTATTAACACCAGGGTGCGTCCACATTTCCTTAGACATCACAGCAAAGGCTGTGTGATAATCTTCATAGCCCCTTCAGTCTGGTCTGTTCTCTAACAGTGCTGCAGATCAATGTTATTAAAGTAAACCAAAACGAATTTTTTTTAACTGAAATTAAGGCTACGTTCACACTGCAGCATTCTGATTTTTATTTTTTTTGTCAAATCTGTTTTTGTTTTTTGCCGTGATTGTTCATACTTCCAAATAAGAATGGCAAACGACCTGGAAGTGTCCCGCATGCGCAGTAGAGTACGCAATAACGTCACGCAGCGTTTTGCCAACCGCCGTGAAAAAAAGTGGAGTTCAGTGTTTGCGGAAGTAAACATGAATGCTAACGGTGGAGCATGGCTTACACATTTGAAGTTGTTTTCCGACTGCAGCCAGCATACTAGCAACACAATCCTCATTAATATTTTGTCGTGGTTGTCGTTTTTCTTCCCGCTTGCGAGTACCAGGAAGCAGAATAGTGATATTTTGCCGAGTATCAGTGACGTTAACGTCGAATGAACACGACCTGACCGTTGAGCTTCCGGTCACATTTGAAAAGATCAGCGATTTCATTGGGTCACTTCCGGCTGCAGTGTTAACTAAAATAGATCATGTGTTTATAAAACATACTGAAATTGTCTAATCCTTGTGTTGTGTAATTAATTGGGGCCTGCCCATAGCAATGCATAAGGAGAGCAGTGACTGACTTGCGAAGCAAGTCAGTCACTGCCTCCATGCATTGCATGGCAGGCACCTATTAATCTTCACCCAATAGAACGCCTCTTTATTATTATTTTTATTATTATAGATCTTTATTTTTCTTCCGTAGACCGGAATGCGGCTCGCACCGCTGCGAGCCCACCCACAAAAGTGGTATCAAAACGTGCGGCTCGTTCCCGGCATTGGAGCTATTACTTTTATGGGGAATCGGCGTTACGACGGCGACGTAAAAAGCGAAAAACGAGCGAAATTTCCAACTGCCGAAACGCAGAGCATAACTGCCACCAACTGCCGCTCCGCTAGAGTGAAAAATGAAGTGGATTTCTGACCCCAAATAAATTTTGAAATCGCCGTCACGCCCACAAATATCGTGCTATCGGTATCAAACTCGGTCATGACATAGATACGAATGTCTGCTCCGGTAAAATGTTTTCAAAATTTTTCTAGGGCTTACGGTTTTCTGTCAAGGTGCTTTAGAGCAAAATCAAGTTCCAGCCTAACTGACGCTCTCCACCATGTATTTTCATACTTTTCTGGAAAATTTCAGACCTCAGCGCACACCATTTTTCTCTCATCGCTGTAATTACTATGAATGAGCTACAGATATGATTTGCAGGACTATCGGAGACAAAAAATAGCTCTCTCATATGCATCAAACTGTTCTCCGATATGTATCACGGTTTCCGAACGGCAAGGAGTTGTTCGGGCTGCTTTTTCCATTATAATTGCCTGAGCTGTCTCACAAAGATAGAAATCTGTCTCTGCCTCACACACATGACAGTTGACCTCTTTAGAACTACAATTCCTGAAGGTTAGAACTACAACATGGCGGAACACTCACTGCCTACAAAAGAGGTCAGAGCTGATTGTCAGAACTAGAACATGGTGGAACTGTCAGTTACTGCTGAGGAGGAATGAGCTGGCCTTTAGAATTACATTGTGTTTGGGCATTTTATAACTGATTTTAAGCAACCATTGTTACACACAGGATTAGTGTGGCAATTTCAAATTAAGCTTAATGAAAATTTCAAAATAAAAGCCCTGAGATTCTTTTATATCATGTAATTGCTCTCTTGGGCATTATGTGACTTTTTAAACAAAACCACTGTTAAACTTTGGATTATTTTGGACATTTAAAATGAAGCTTAATGAAAATTTCAAAATAAAACCTTGAATATTTCTCTCAGGCCTGTCAGAAAAACTAACTTCTTCAAGCATTTAGAATTAAGTCTCTCTTTGTGTGTCACACTGACATGACAGTTGACCTCCTCTTTAGAACTACAATTTCTGAAGGTTAGAACTACAACATGGCGGAACACTGAGTGCCTACAGAAGAGGTCATAGGTGAATATAACAACTACAACATGGTGGAACTGTCAGTTACTGCTGAGGAGGACTGAGCTGCTCTTTAGAACTACAATTCCTGAACATTAGAACTACAACATGGCGGAACACTCAGTGCCTACAGAAGAGGTCATAGGTGAATATAAAAACTACAACATGGTGGAACTGTCAGTTACTACTGAGGAGGAATGAGCTGGCCTTTAGAATTACATTGTGTTTGGGCTTTTATAACTGATTGTAAGCAACCACTGTTACAGACAGGATTAGTTTGGCAATTAAGCTTAATAAATTAAGCTTAATAAAAATTTGGAAATAAAACCTTGAATATTTCTCTCAGGCCTGTCAGAAAAACTAACTTCTTCAAGCACTTAGAATTAAGCCTCTCCTTGTGTGTCACACTGACATGACAGTTGACCTCCTCTTTAGAACTACAATTCCTGAAGGTTAGAACTACAACATGGCAGAACACTCAGTGCCTACAGAAGAGGTCATAGGTGAATATAAAAACTACAACATGGCAGAACTGTCAGTTACTACTGATGAGTAATCAGCTGGCCATGACAAGTACTTGGTTTTTGGGAATTTTAGAACTGATTTCAAAACTCCATAGTTACACATGGGATTAGTGTTACCATTAAAATTAAGCTTAATGTAAATTTCAAAATAAAAGCCTTGACAATTTTTTCATCAAGTAATTGCTCTTTTGACCACTATATAACTGATTTAACCCAATCAGTGTTAAACATGGGATGAGATTGGCCATTTAAAATTAATCTCAATGAAAATTTCAAAATAAAAGCCTTAAGATTCCTTCCTGGCTCATGCCTATTTTAGTGAAAATGGCTGCCTCAAACTGATAGAATTAAGTCTCCCCCTGTCTGACTGACAGCTGGCAGAGGATCCATTACCATGGCAACGGAACACAAAGGGGCCAGCTGATTAGGACTACAAAAACGCATCACTGTAGTTCTAACTATGGCAGAACTCAGAGAAAAAAGCTGGACTTTAGAACTGCTTGTGTTTTGGGCCTTTTATAACTATTTTTAACCAACCATTGTTACACATGGAATTAGTGTGGAAATTTTAAATTAAGCTTTAAAAAAAATTCAAAATAAAATCCTTGAGAATTTTTATATTAAATAAGTGCTCTTTTGACCATTATATGTCTGATTTAACCAAATCACTGTTATACATGGGATTACATTGACCATTTAAAATGAAACATTCTGAACATTTTAAAATAAAAGCCTTAAGATTCGGCCGTGGCTAATGCAGCGCCGCAGGCGCTGCAATGATATTAGCTTGCATTATCTTTTCCTCTCAAGTTAGGGCACTGTCTTGCGCAGCAAGACAGTGCATTAGCATTAGCACAAACATTAGCATTTCTCTGTTCCCCACCAGTGCACTGCCATAGGCAGTGCAATAAGATTATCCTGCATGAACTTTTCCACTCAAGTTAGGGCACTGTCTTGCGCAGCAAGACAGAGCATTAGCATTAGCCTTTTACCTTGCATGAGGTATTAGCTATTTCCCTTACTTATTACCCATATTTAGTATACTTAATGCAGTAAGTCATGCTTGTGACTCTCCACATTGTATTGATGACATTGCAGCTTTCTTTAGCATGAATGCTAATGTTTAGCATCAGAACGCTGGGTCAAAATCGACGGGCACACTTTGGCAGGCCCCGGTTAAATTTCTTCAGGAATTTTCTAGTCTATTATTAGCCTTTCGGTCTGATGTGATTTGTATTTTTTCCCGCACATGCAGTTTACGTCAGCTGTAATCAAATTACGGTACTCCCCCTAGTGGCTCATAATCCTGTCCTCAAAATGATGACTGCAAAAGTTGGGATAAAATGCCAGTCAGCTGATTGTTTAGCAATAATTTAATTCATTTTTAGAAAATTATATCATCTGTTGAGTATCATTACCCAACTGATGTTTAAGGACAAATATAGTTATGACAACACTATACTTTGACCTTTTTGAAATCTCCACCTAAAAATTAGCCAAAGTATGAAAAAACTAAAACTACTAACATACCTAATAAAAATTTAACTGAAACTAATATTTACACTAATTATAATTAATAAGAACCAGCATATCTACTGTAAAACGAATGAAAACTAACTGAATTAGACCCTCAAAAAGTCACACTAAGTAAAACTAAACTATAAACAAAACTACTCTGACTGTGCTGCAGAGGTTTCGTGGCAACCTGGACAGCACCAAGACAAAGGACAACAGATTCTCTCCGCCATTAGTGGCTCGCTACATCAGGATCCATCCACACGACTTCAAGCAGAAACCCGCTCTGCGACTGGAGCTGCTGGGATGTGATCTGAACAGTGAGTTGATTCAACTTTTTCTTAGCTCTTGGAGAAAGTGAGAAATGACTCAGACTGTATGCTTTATGTGTGTGTGTGTGAGCAGGCTGCTCTCTGCCTTTGGGACTTGAAAAGGGGAGCATTCCTGACAGCAGCTTTGACGCCTCATCGTTTCAGTCGTCTTTCCTGCGTAGCTGGAGACCCTCCCTCGCACGCCTGCACCAGAGCGGTGGAGCCAACGCCTGGAGGCCAAAGGTGTGGTCACTTTTTGCGAGTACAAATGTATATACCATGCTGACTGCTCACTGCATAAAGAAATGAATTAATGAAAACACTCGAGACATTTAAGCCATCAATAACCTTTCATCTGCGTTATCGGTGACATTTAGTCTCCATCAGGTGGCAAAGAAGCAGTGAAGCTCGCAAAGCGGACCATTAACCTTTCTCTCTTCTCACTCCGTTATCATGTTTGGCTTCAGCTTCTGTTTCCTCTCCTCTTCAGCTTATCATTTTAACACTTTCCAGAAGTGAACTGCAGGCGTGTGACTTGTCCTCGTGGTAAATATCTGATTGAGCTGTTGTGCCACCGGAGAACAACAGAAGTCAATCTCTCTGCGCCGACCTTTGGTTATAAGATAATTCTAGGCTAAGATGAACAAACAGCAAAAATGTTGCATAAAACCAAAAGAATTTCAACAATGAAGGAACTGAAGTTGAAACTATTACCCACAACCAGTTTCCACATCATGCCAGTAAAGAGTAACAGAATAAATGATGCACGGATGAAACATTGTTTTTCTTTGTTTCAGTTTCTCAACAATCATGTTCTAAAGTTAAGAGAAAATTAGTCTGTTGCTGTTTTTTGTTTGTTTGGTTTTTTTTAAATAGAAGTGAGCAAAATCTTTTTTATGTTTCAAGACAAACAATTATACAACACTAGTCGAGTGAAGATTTGTATTTTAATCTATCTGGAGTTTCTTCTTTCTTTGCCTTTTTTTGTCAACAAGTTTCCATATAGAACAAAGTTTTTGTTTGATATAAAAACACATTTTTATATCAAGACAACCTGAGTAAACACAAAATTGATTTTTTTCATATCTTAACCAATCTGAATCTATATGAAAAAGTAATCACCCCAATAATTGTGCCATCCTCAGCACCAGCTGCTATAAAGTGTTTGTAATAACGAATGGGTAACTAATTAGTTATTACAAACAACTAAGTAATACTTAGTTATTACCCACTCTTCTTGCAGAATCATTTTAATTCAGCCACATTGAAGGGTTTTTCAGAATAAATAACTTGTTTTTTAAATTCATACCACTGCTTCTTAAAATGTATCTCCAGACTTGGATTAGACCATCTAAAACCCTTCCTTTTGTTTTGTTAACCCTTTAGTAACTGAACTTTTTATTATGATTGGATCATTATCCCACTATGTAAACCAGGAGAACTTACATGTAAAGCCACAAACCAATGTTGGGAAAACATTTTACCAAGAATGTTCAGGAACAAAATGTACGGTTTCATTGATTGTGGAAAGTCGTTGCATTTTTTGAAAATATATTTTTTTGTCAAAAAAGCCAACTTTTGTTGACCATACACTCAGCTACAAAGTGAATGTCTTCTTGAAATCTGAAGATGCTTCAATATCTTGTTTGCCTCAGAACAACAACCCCCACGAGTGGCTGCAGGTGGATTTGGGGAAGGTCAAACGGATCACAGGCATCATCACGCAAGGCGCGCGCTCGATGCTGACCCAGATGATGGTAACAGAGTTCTCTGTCACATTCAGTCTAGACCAACATTCCTGGAGCAGCGTGTTGGAGGAGAGCTCCCAGAGAGAAAAGGTGTGCAGAAAATTTCACAAACGGTTTCCATTTACACTCAAGCCTGCGTCACAGCTGCCAGGCAGACTCTGCAGCTCTCTCAACTCTAATATGTATTCAGTGAATCAGCCGAGAGTGCCGGGTAAATGAGTTTTTTGCAGCACTAGTGCGGGTCTTGGGAAATGTTGAGTTACAGTTTTGGATGGGTGGCAAAAGAAAAAATACAGACTATTTCCACATGCTTTGGTCTTTGGGATTAAATAAGTATAAAAGTATTAATACCACTGGAGCTCTTATGACTTTACAAAGAAACATTTTGCAATTCAATGAGATTTTAGACAAACACGGAGTAGTGGAGTAGAAGGAAAATTATACATGCATTTAAATTTGAAACGTGTGAAGAGAGATCATGTGAAAGAAGATGCTAAAATTTAATATTTTGCTCCTCGTGCAAATTACTATTTGTGGTGGAAAACTAAAGTTTCACAACTCATCTTCCACCTGTACAACAATCCTAAGCAGCTACCCAGAAATTTAATGCAATTTTTTACTTTTTTTTTTTACATCAATCCATCTTCATGTGTTAGAGTCCAGACCTGGATCAAATAGACCTGGGAGTTGAAAATTGTGTATTCAAATACAATTTTCATACAGTCTGTTTAAGTTTGAGCAATTTCCCAAAGAAAAGAAAGAAGAAAAAAGTGTTACAAACATTGACTCAGGATGGCTGAAAAAATGTGCAGCTTCATCATTTTCCTTCAGTGATGCATTGCTTTTTGTTTTCCTGTTCTGTGTCTGCAATTAGACAAAATGTCAGAAACTTCCAGAGCTGGGAGTATTTTTCTGAGGAACTGCATGTCCTGGCATGATAAATGTCATCTTTCTGTGCTGTTTCCTGACTTCTTGCTCTTTCCTTTCCTCATCAGATCTTCACAGGCAACAACGATCCGGACGAGGAAGTTTTCACAGTGTTTGAGCCTCCCTTGTTCGCCCGCTACCTCCGTATCCATCCACGGGGCTGGCTCAACGACATCGCCCTCCGCCTGGAGGTTTTGGGCTGCGACACCCAGCGGGGGGTCAAACTGCCCCGGCAGTAAACACTGGCGCCAGCAGCAGCAGCTTTTTGGACCTTTTGTTTTCTGTGAATTTTGCTGGAGATTGAGATAATGTAGCACACTTAAGTTACAATTTGAAGCTGTTCCCTCTGTAGCCAGAACATTGTTTACATTTTCACTTTTCTTTTTGACACTGTGATATTTGGTGAAGGGCACACTTATGCTAAGTTCATAGAGAAGTAGGTGTTTTTGGAACACTTGATTTTGATTGTGCTGAAAAAAACATTTTGAATGTAAGCAGGTGTAAATATTTCAGACGTAGGTTGCTGTTTATTGTTTGACTACTTGTGTATCATTGGAGAAGTTGTATTTTTTCTGCTTTATTTGAGATATTAAAGTATGAGTTCCATGACACCTTCAACATCTTGCAAACATTTATTGTCAGAAATTTACACAGAAAGACAGACACTAGGTGCTAAAGTACCTGCTCGGTTTCTTCTGTACAAAAAAGAACCCTTCTGAAATCTTTCTTGTTTTTTTTTTCGAAGTGGACTATCTTGTGGCCAAACAATAACGTACGACTATTGGATTTATAGATATTACGTTATAGTTGTTCCTTTGAAAAATCTTAATCTCACTTGCGGCACAAGTTGCCCTTTTTTCCACTTAACCACTTGCAGCCAAGAATGTTTGCACACCACTGCTTATTTTCGTTTTTCTTTTCTTCTTGCCAGAAGTCTTCTCATGTTTTCCCCCCTTTTTTCCCAGCCTCTTCATTCTTCATTCAGTCTGTGAAATGTTGTTTTTTCTTATCCAGCTCCGAGAGGCCCTCCTGGCAGAAACAATGGGACGGTTGAGCTCCAACATTGTTCTGTTGTAAGTTAAACTTTGCAGAGGAAGTACGAGTTTGTTCACCAGACACGATAATTGAGCTGCGGGACGGGAAGGCAACTGGTCGGATCGACACTGTGTGTGAGAGTGTTTGTACCATAAGACCTGACCAAAATGTGTCACCTCATTATCTGTCAGGAAGTTTCCATGCAGGCGGGGGGTGTTGTGTTTAGTTTGGAGGTTAAGAGCAGGACCTGCGTGGCACGCACGTCCTGGCTGTACCTGGTTGTCACTCCATATCTCTCTGAAAACACCGGCTGCTCTCAAAAACACAAACAGCATCTGTATTCATCGATGGCTGAGGCACAAGAAGGAAAGCAGATGAATCAGAGCAAGGCAGAGGCTGTCGTCCTGAGGGGATCACTTATCGGGTGCCGCGCTGCTGCTCCCAGCGTGTTAAAGCAGCAGCAACAACAAACAGACCAGTATCACATCTTAACACTGGGAATTACATCATTTTCATTACACCGCATTGGAAATGCATCAGCATGCTTTAGCTTCCCCACATTTACCACATCTGATAAGTGTGGTGTTAATTTGTAATATAATTAACTGATTTAACTAGTGTCACTGTGATGGTGCTAAAACTACCAGCAAATGTTCGAAAAAGCATGCGTCCATTTATATCTGAAGTACATCTAAAATGTACTTTTTTCAATTTTTTCAAATTGAAATAGGAAATTTGTATTACATAATGTTTAATACATTTCAAGCTTTTATTTCTGTTACTGTAACTGATGGAGCTTATTGTTAACAAAAACTGAAGAAAACTGAAGAAAACTGAAGTCTCGATTAAGGTCAATAAAACAAATTTAATATCATTTTTAACCATTCATTTAACAGGAACAGATACCACAGCTGATCTGACAGCTGGCCGTCCAACACAAATCAACTGGACCAAAGAACTGTCACTATCAAGCCCACTTGCAGTTCCAGGACAACTGTAGATGAGCATATTGATAAAAAGTTGAGTGGAAGAAAAAATCTGGCTCAAAAAAAGCACAGAGTTGAAAGAATGTCAAGAAAAATCATTTCAAGAGTTCAGGGTAGATTTACAAGGCATAGACTGTACCAGGTAGTATACTGTATATTGAGCTCAACAACAGGCCAACATAATTTAGTGATTCTCACGTTCTGTTTGATCCTTTTTTTTTCTTGTGGGTTGTTTGTGTTCATAGTGTATCCATATTGTGTTCATTTTTATGTGTTCATTATTGTCCAGAGCAGAAGTCTGCAACCTGCAGCAAGAGGCTTTTTTCAAAAACGGCTTTTAATAACTTTGGTCGAAAAACATTTAACAACAAGTCCACGTTTTAACAGCTTCTCAGTTTTATTAAGGAGTAATTTGACCCAATTTTCACTACAGAGCGATGCTAAAATTAACTGCAATATAATTTAATTTCAGTTTTCTTTTTATTAGGTTGGAAAATTTGTTTTTTGTTTAGTCTTTTTGGCACAGTATTCTAAAAATATATATCAACCTGCTGTATATGAAAATGCTAAAGTGTGTTTTTCTTTATTTTAATATGTAAAAACAGAAATTTTATGGTGTTTCCTTCAAAATAATATGTTCCAGGCTCTGAGTTTTACTTGGCTTCTCTGAGGACAAACAATGGCTCTTTGGACTGTAAAAGTTGCAGACCCCTGATCTATAAATCACTTTAACGGGTCATTGTTGATGTTTTGTTTGTTAGTATTATTCTTGTCTTCTGTACCTTGTGCATTTAAATTTACATTCCTTTGATTGGAGGAGTCAAAGGAATCTGAAAGGGTATTTATTAATATCCTTTCATCTTCCTGCTTTCCCTCAGCCTGCCAGCTTTGCCTCCTGTCACAGCTGCACCTTCTTACTCTCCTCAGTAATCATTGATTTCACATTTCCATGGGAATGTTTATGTTTCAGTAAGTTTGTGGCTTACCAGAGAACAGCACAATAAACCACAAATGTTTCTTAAGGAATTCAGCTTCTGCTTTCTTCTTCTTCTAATTGGTTGCAGAAACACTCAACTAACTCTCAGGTCTTACACCTGATTCACTTGTGTGGCAGAAAACAGTGGGAAGGACGTGGCTTTACCAGGAAATCTTGTTTGCAGTTGCAAAGGTGCTGGTCTGAACGTCGTCATCTGTTCGTTTCTTCTTTGGAGCAACTCTTAACTTTCCAAGCATGATCAGCTGATGAGGCGATGCTTCAGGGATTCCGGTTTGTGAACTTGGACGTGATTTCCACACTGAGCTGTTAAACCAGAGGCTTCGTCTCTACATGCTGTTTGGCATGAAATGAAATCATAAAAAATAATGTTAGGAAGCAGTTCAAAATGCCTTTCATCACTCTCTGCGTCAGCAATGTGGTAGACGTCAAAATTTCATTCTATCTGCCGGCTCCTGCTTCTCAGTGTTGAACGCTGACGTGTCGTTTTTCAGGAAGCAAAACTCCGTAACTGAAAGAGTACTTTTAGAATTTGCAACAAATGAGCTTTCAACCATAAAAGATGAATCATTCTTGTGTTTTTTAGGTTTTTCCATTAGAAAGTCTGGAGGTGGTGCATGACTGTCCGAGTTTCCACAGTGATGACACCAGTTAACTTTAAAACCCCTTAGAAATAGAAACCCTGCAGTTTTACACGAAATTCAACAGAACAAAAAGGACTTGTTTGATGAATGTGGAAATTACTAAACAAGATCCTGATGAAATTTAATAGGCGTGCGTCGTAAGCTTATACTCATTCAGGTCATTGTTAGAGAATGCAGAAGATATCGGCATGTTGAGGTCACCGAGTCCAGATGCCACATTACAACCAGATGTTTGGGAGGCAGGCCGAGATAAACGTGTGGAGCTGAGCAGCGCTAATTGATTTTAACTAAACTCATGTGGTCTGGTCATATGAGACAGAATGAGAATAAAAATAAAAATAAAATACTGTTGAGTATGACGGAGGATCTGTAATGCTGTGGGTCTGTTTCTCTTCAAAAGACCATTGAAACATTGTTAGAAAGCATTCCATCGCAAACTCTAAATACTTGAACATAGTAAAATCTGGGTAAAAAAAACAACAACAAAAAAACTGTGTAACTGCTGCTTCTTTCAGTAGCATAATAATGCACAACATCTGGCCAAATGGATGACCAGAAGAGAGAGAGAGTTCCTGGATGATGAAAAACGCAGTAAAGCAACGACGGCAGGAGAGTCAATCAGTATCATGCTGCCGATGTAAATTTTAAGAAAATTAATATGTTTTTTTAACGTAGGATTTTTTTTTCAGCCACAGAATGAATTTAAGGTTGTTCTTTTCTCATTTTCTTCAGTATGATATAAAATATGAATTAGTACATCATTATTATGTGCCAGAAAGACGCTATTTAAGAGTTGGGGTACTTTGTCAATTTCCCAAATATAAGTAATTTATTTTGTTCAATTATAAATAAGCAGCAGCACAAATGTAATCAGCAGATTTTGTTTTCACCTTGGACAACTTAAAGTGCAAAATCTTCAAAACAAAAATGAGAGGAAGGACCCCTACTGGCCATTCAGGAGTATTACAGAAATCTGAAAGGTTTTTATTATTATTATTATTATTATTATTAGTTAGGAAAATATAGGCCTTCAGCTTAAAAACAACACTCATATAGAATATTTATTTTTTAAAATGAAGAATACATGTACTTGTTCTGCATTCATTAGCAGAAATATATCTATTTTTTTGAAGAAAGACAAATAAAGTACGATATAAAAACTTCAGTAAAACTGTTACTTTAGCGACAATTGCTCATTACTTTCTCTGACTTAAAAATTGACACGTTTTCTTGGTATTTTATCAACTGACTTGTTAAAATGCCAAATGAACCTAAGAACAAATCAGTGGCATTTCAAACAGGAGACAATGCTTCATGTTGAGTCCAACGTTTCAAACTCCACCAGCTACATTTTTAATCATGTTTCGCATTTTAAACTTTAATCTGCACCAACAGTTGACACATATAATTAATTGTGTACGGCAACAGAAGTTTCTTCCAAGTAGAGGAGGAAAGTGTAGAGCAGCAGAGGAACAACTGTTGAACTTTAAAGACACAGGCTTCATAGATGCTGATTTGATATGTTTGCTGTAAACTCCGTTTTCTGGGCTCCTTGTTCCTTACTTGTGAGTTGCGTACAATAACCGCCTGTGTGTACATAAAGAGCTCTGCTTGCAGGAGCCGATGCACTGAGGCGTGCTCTCCACGAGTCGATAGGATTGGACGCCCGGGTGTGAAACACTGAGAGGAACCAGAAGTTGAGGAAGGAATTAATGCCTGAATGAGCTCAGCCATGTTACTGTGGTGGTAATGAGCAGATTATACATCTGAACGCACATTCACCATGCATCTGAAGCACAGCAGAAGTTTGAATTAGTCTTTGGAAAAAGGTTTAAGTCCTTCCTGAAAACAATGAGAGCGCTTCACTTATTCATGTTCTGAGTTGCAGCCTTATTTCCAAAGGGATTGCACTGAATTATACAAGAAAAAAATCTGATAATTTAGTCATGTTATTAAAGACAAAAAACAAAAAATCTCACGTTATACATATTGTATGTTTTCACAGCCCTTGACAATGGATTAAAACACTAAAACTTGAGCTACAGTTAGGGCCAGAAATATTTGGACAGTGACACAGGTTTTGTTATTTTAGCTGTTGACAAAAATATGTTCAGAAATACAATTTATATTTAATATGGGCTGAAAGTGCACACTCCCAGCTGCAATATGAGAGTTTCCACATCCAAATCGGAGAAAGGGTTTAGGAATCATAGCTCTGTAATGCAGAGCCTCCTCTTTTTCAAGGGACCAAAAGTAATTGGACAATGGACTCTAAAGGCTGCAAGTAACTCAAAAGGCCTTTCCCTCGTTAACCTGTAATCAAGTAAGTAGTTAAAAGGTCTGGGGTTGTTTCCAGGTGTGTGGTTTTGCATTTGGAAGCTGTTGCTGTGACCAGACAACATGCGGTCAAAGGAGCTCTCAATTGAGGTGAAGCAGAACATCCTGAGGCTGAAAAAAAGGAAAAAATCCATCAGAGAGATAGCAGACATGCTTGGAGTAGCAAAATCAACAGTCTGGTACATTCTGAGGAAAAAGGAATTGACTGGTGAGCTTGGGAACTCAAAAAGGCCTGGGCGTCCACGGAAGACAACACTGGTGGATGATCGCCGCATCCTTTCTTTGGTGAAGAAGAACCCGTTCACAACATCAACTGAGGTCCAGAACACTCTCAGGGAAGTAGGTGTATCTGTCTCTAAGTCAACAGTAAAGAGAAGACTCCATGAAAGCAAATACAAAGGGTTCACATGTAGATGCAAACCATTCATCAATTCCAAAAATAGACAGGCCAGAGTTAAATTTGCCCAAAAACACCTCAAGAAGCCAGCCCAGTTCTGGAAAAGTATTCTATGGACAGATGAGACAAAGATCAACCTGTACCAGAATGATGGGAAGAAAAGTTTGGAGAAGAAAGGGAACGGCACATGATCCAAGGCACACCACATCCTCTGTAAAACATGGTGGAGGCAACGTGATGGCATGGGCATGCATGGCTTTCAATGGCACTGGGTCACTTGTGTTTATTGATGACATAACAGCAGACAAGAGAGCCGGATGAATTCTGAAGTGTACCGGGATATACTGTCAGCCCAGATTCAGCAAATGCTGCAAAGTTGATCGGACGGCGCTTCACAGTACAGATGGATAATGACCCCAAGCATACAGCCAAAGCTACCCAGGAGTTCATGAGAGCAAAAAGGTGGAATATTCTGCAATGGCCAAGTCAATCACCAGATCTCAACCCAATTGAGCATGCATTTCACTTGCTCAAATCCAGACTTCAGACGGAAAGACCCACTAACAAGCAAGACCTGAAGGCTGCGGCTGTAAAGGCCTGGCAAAGCATTAAGAAGGAGGAAACCCAGCGTTTGGTGATGTCCATGGGTTCCAGACTTAAGGCAGTGATTGCCTCCAAAGGATTCACAAACAAAATATTGAGAAAAACTTTTTTGTTTGGGTTATGTTTATATGTCCAATTACTTTTGAGCTCCTAAAATGTGGAGTGTTTGTAAACAAATGTGTACAATTCCTACATTTTCTATCAGATATTTTTGTTCAACCCTTTAAATTAAACGTTAAATCTGCACTTGAATTCTGTTGTAGAGGTTCATTTCAAATCCAATGCGGTGGCATGCAGAGCCCAACTCACGAAAATTGTGTTACTGTCCAAATATTTCTGGCCCTAACTGTACGTCCACTGATTCAAACTTGACTGGAGCCCACACATTCAGGTGGCTGGGCATGATGTGGAAAAGACTCACCTCTAGTTTTCTGTCGTCCTCGCAGAGAACCAACACTGCAGTGTGGAAAGAGGAGAATTTTCCAGAAGAACAACCATTTCTGCACCAATTCACCGATTAAGCCTGAATCGCAGAGTAGTCAGACGGAAGCTCCCGTCCCAGTGGATGACCTGGAGGCTTTCAAAGAGAAACTAAACCGCCTGGTTTGATGAATGGGAAACTCAACTCTTTGGTCTGGATGCCAAGCTTCATGGCATGTCTGGAGGAAACCAGACAAGATCCAACATGCTTTCGCGGTAGAGCCCAAAACTTTAACCCTTCAATGAACATTTCTGGTGATCTGAAACTTACAGGACAGGTTCTGGAAAGAACAGGTGGGATGATCGACATTTGTGGCAAAGACGAGGCTTTAACTGCTACCAAAGCAGCTTCAACAAAGAATTTTGTAAAGACTGTGGAAATGTATGTTTTTCTATGTTTTTGTTGGGTAAACATTTCAAAATTTGAAACTGTTCCACTTCCACATTATGTGCATTATTTTGTGCAGAATTTAGAAAAGAGAGCTACATTCAAATCAAACATTTTTTTAGCGTTACATCATCTCACAAGGTTATTCCTTCATCAAAACATACCCAGAAAGTTGTGTGCTTCAGAAATTCTTCAATCTCCCATGATAGCCATTCGGATGAGCAAAATGCTTGGGGAGCTGAAGTCTCCAGGCTCCTCCAGACTAGCAGCAGCAGCAATTAGCAAACACCTGGTGGAACCGGGAGCCTGTTGATCTTGTTATACAAACTACTGAGTCCCATGCTCCTCAGAACGTTGCTAAAGGCTTAATGGAGAATCGCTGTGTTGAGGTGCAGAAGGCGGAGTGTCGGAAAGAGCAGCAGCTTCTTAAAGACACAGAGGCCCAATTTTAAGGCGTTAATGTCAAAGTCAGGTTTCTTTTAAATCATGTTTGATATACACAGCATTTTTATAACAACTGTAGGTATATAATACAATGTCATGTATTTACTTGATTGTGCTGTAAAATGGCACCATGTGCCTCGAAAACACATAACATCTCCCCTTTAAAAAGAAAGTCGAAAAAGGTGTGCATACTTTCCTGGTGCACAGTAGATCTGGATAATAAACCTTCTCATCTGAATGACACATGAAACCAACAAATTTACAACAACAGAAGATCCAATTTTACACTTTATTGAAAGTTTAATAGAAAAAAAACATGACTCTTTTGATGAGGAACAAAATTATAACAAAAAAACAAAGACAATTTTTCCTAGCAGCATGACTTAAATTCCCAATCTAATGTGCTCACTGACCATGTTAGATCATGTTGTACATTGGATTAAACAAAAGGATGAAACGGTAGAGCTGGTGTGGGACAGAAGCTTGCAGCTTTGCAAAGTGCGGAGAGGCAAAAGAGGCTTAGTTTCAGCAACCTGCTGGAGTTTACAGAGAAAGAAAGTTTAACGGACTTCTGCACTGGAAGTCTCTGCATATTTCAACATGTAAGGCTGCGGGAAGGCCTGGGCTGACCATGAACGTAGGACCATAAACAACAATGACCAGCAACACCAAACGGTAACTGTGAAAACACATCTGCAGCTGGAATAATGGCAACACACATATAAAAACTTTGTAGTTTATGTCACATATGAAAGACACAGAAAGGTTCACATGGTACTGAGAAATTCAGATCTTTGCTGGCAAAAATACAACAGAGTATTCTTGCTGGAAGTCCGGCAGTCAATGAGGTGCAGACATGTTGTGTATCATGGCTCAGATTTCTAACAATCGGTCCTTCAGCTATCGGTTTCGGGTGTTAATGTGGTTTGGAGTCGAGGTAAAGCACACCAGTTAAAAAGTAGAGCAGACTGAGGTCAGAGGAGTCCAGAGGAATGGCCCGCTGCACGGCAGAATAACAAGACTGGGGAGATACAAAACGTCTGGACTCATTTCAAGCCAGTGAGTCCAATAATAAGATGAAACTTAAGAGGCCAGCTTTTCCCTACTGGCCGCTTTTAAATAAGAGAAATAAATTAATTGCTTAAACATACAACTCAAATTCTTTCAAGTTCACCCGACCTGGTTAGCATTAATTCCAGAGCGATGGAACAACTGGGGATTGGGCCCTAGGGAGGTTTTACCTCGTCACACATTAAACAGAGCATGAATCATACTTCCCACACCGAGGCTTCAACCTGCAGACTGTGTGGTTGGACAGTCTGCATGTTAGGAGAGCGACTTGAGAGAAATACAAAGAAAGGAAGCCTGGGTGGTTATTAATTAGAAAAACACATGTTCAAAACTATTATTAAAAACTAGTATTAGTGTCTGGAGCTCATGAAAGTGAAACACAAGAGGCCCCACTGTGCATATCTACTGCAGCTCGTAGCTTTGAATGCTGGATAAACATTTACAGTGCTTTGCAAAAGTATTCAGGCTCCTGGAATCAAATTTCCACATTTATTTTTGTTTCAACCACAAACCTCAGTGTATTTCAGTGGGACTTTATGCAACAGACCGACAGAGAACAGTGATTGGGAAATGTTGCGCAAATATGAAAATTGTGGTTTAAAATCTTTTTACTTTGATACTACATGAGGTTCAGTTCAACCAAAAGTTGCCGAATAAGCAAACAGACTCCACCAGGATCTTGAAGTAGTATGGCACAACTGTGAAGCCTACCAAGACATGACCATACATCAAACCTGACAGAACAAAAAAGAACACACTATGCCACCGGTGTAACACGGTGGTGGCAGCGTCATGCTATGGGGATGCTACCGCCAAAATCAGGGAAGCTGGTTGAAGATGTGGATCAAATGAATGGGCCCAAACATCTATGTTTTAGATGAAAACATAAACATTTGTTTGAATGTTTCAAACAACAAACACACCCTTGTCAGTGTGAAACATGGTGATGGCAGCGACATGCTGTGGGATGCACATCTTTTGGTTGGCAACACAAACAACCCCATGGAGAAACACTTGTTAGAGGCTGGGAAAGATTTGAGATTCACATTTGAAAAGTGACTATGAATTTGACCATTTCATTGTAGCTCTGACTGGATGATTCAGGCGCCATCTTTTGACAGAATGGCCTAATCAAAGCTTGAATTAAATCCAATTGAGAATTAGTGCTAAGGCTTGAGAAATGACTTCTGCAAACGTTGTCCATGTAATCTGACTAAGCGTGAGCTGTTTTGCTGGGAAAAATCGACAATCGTCTCCGGTAGTGACGTCACAATAAACACCTGCAGCTGTAGTCTACACACCACTATGCCTGTCACATAAAACAATATAATGCACTGATGTTTGTGGCTGTAATGTGACAAAGTGCAAGAGCATGAACACATTTTTAAGGCACTGTATCATCGGGAGTCTGGCGTATTCAGAATTCAGCGGTCAGAGTAACAGGACCAGTGATGCTGCATAGACAAAAAAAAAACTTTGGCAAGCGAAAACTCAGACACGCCTTCAGCCATCCAAATGCTTTCTATCACTCTACATCCTTCACCATTCTGTATTAGCTCTAATCTTCACAGATAAGCCAGCACAGCAAATCTCCTGCCAGCACTTTCAATGCAAACAGCAACAAATAATAACTCAAAACCATTACAAATTACATCGAATCAGTCCGCTTCCTCTTTAAAATCTACAATAGTTGAGAAGAAGGAGCACCTGGCTGGTTCTAGAAAGTAGGTGAAAGTAAAGTTTGATTACTTTTAATTTGTAAAAAGTCACACTGAGCAAGGAGATGCAGGAATTCTTCAAAGCTAAAGGCGAATCCTGTTCTGGTGTGCAGCTGGGCCACCTGCTAATGACACGGTTAATGTAAGGCAGATTTCCATTCGAGGGTTTTCACAGGTTAACACATCATCACGTGGTTTTAGGCCTTTGGAGAACAAAAAACGACTTGCGTAAAAAGACAGAGGTGAAAGCTGCTGACTAACAAAGTGACGACAAAGTCATTATAAAACAGGGCAAACAATAACCACTCAGACCACATATAAACAGAATCTATATCACTTATTAAATGGCAGCTGGTTTCACCTCAATGTCCTACTTTATGGCTGCCAGAAGATTTGGCCCTTTGGAAAACATTTACACCCCCAAACCTTTTCCACAATGTGTGACTTTAGCGACAGTGGGCCCTCCTTTACTTACAGGGATCACTAAGTGCAAAGTTTAATTCTGACAATAATTGAATATTTTTGCTTCAGTCTAGGAGCTAAATATCAACGCACTTCTCTATTTAGTTTAAAAGCTTAAAAACTTAGTCAAACCGGTGTTTCTGATCTCCTGTCTTCAGAGTCAAGTGTTTCTATTGATTAATTTAAGAATATTTGACATTTATCTAAAGGTTTCGTTAGCAAAAGGACATAAAAAAAGACCACCCTACAGACACATAGCAGGGACGTTTAAACTGTGAACAAAAAAAGTAAAAACCGAGAGCTAATAAAGAGAAAGTCAACAGGAAGAACAAAAATGTTGGAAGAGAATGTTGGCATGATCAATGAACAGCATGTGGCAGAACTGTGGCTCACACAAAAACAGAAATACGACACACACACAGAAAAATACGAGAAATGGAGAAGGTCAGCAGATTACTGAGGTATAAATGATCAGGAACTGTCAGTCGTCTGGCAGAGCCAGCAGGAAACCTCTCAAGAGAAGAGGTTTGTGTGACTTTCAGGCTGCACGCTGTTACAGCACAGCATCAGACCTGATGACAAAAAAATCTAAACAAATAGGGAAAGTTAGCTGAGAACTTAGTTCAGCATTCCCTTTTCCCCACTTCACCTTTTGCTGTTCCTGTTTCTAACATAATGCTTGAGCAGTGCAGCGTTGCTTCACACTCTAGTCTACAGTTCAGGAGAAGCAGGTGGACCCGGTGAGAGAAATTACTGCAAACTGCCCCGTCAGGGTCGCCAGGGGTGTGATGTGTTTCATTACTGCCTCAACAATATTCTGTGCCCTCCAGTGAGTCTAATGAAAAGCCGAAAATGAATGCAATCATCTAAGAAACGGCCCAAGCTTGCCTCGTTTGGCAACATCAATTCAAAAAGTCTGCAATCAAAATAATCAGCTGGCACACTGCAACCAGCCTCAACCTTAAAACTAAAGAGCAACACTGCAGAGGTCACGACTGCAGTGGATCAGAACGTTTGTGTTCTGTTGTGGTTTTTCCTTTTAGAAAATTTTTCAGAAATAAAACCACATGGTTTGCTAATATAACGTACTCTGGTGATAGTTGGCATTGGAGTAACAAGACTGGTCAGAACCAGAGGAAAAATTTAAATATTTAAGATGAATCCTGACAGAATTTTACTATCCAAAATGAGTTTTTTACTTGCAGGTTACAGGCAGAGGGGGCTTTAGACTCCTTTCATAAGGTGACGGTTTAATGAGTATCTCAGAATAACGTTCTATTGTCTGGAGTGGATATTGTTTGCTTTAATGGCAGTTTGGTGTTAGAGAAGTAACATTATCAGTCTTTGGTAACTTTTGGCTCCAATTTGTTTTTTCTTCATATCATTTCTCTATTTCAGTCCTAAAAATGAATTTAGCCATTAAAAGGTACAAATCAAAACACAGCTGAAAAGGAGTAGGTGTAAAATTATTATAAATGCTGTTTAAAAGTCAAAGTTGAGTAATCGTACGTTCATAAATGCACTAAAACGTCCCACAACAGAAGATTAGTGTTATTTACTGATCTATCAAAGTTACATTATTGTAGCTCAGCTGTCCATTGGTAATTAACTTTGTGTGTGCACAAACAGGAACACACATTTAAAAAAAAAGAAAATGTTTCAACTTTAACATTATTCTAACATATTGTACGTATTTAAAATAAAAAAGATTATAGAAAGAATACTAGATCTCTCTTAACAGCTCCATAATCGAGTTCCTTTCCACTAAAACAGCAAAATAAAGTGACAGTTGATTATTTTTCAAAGCTATCAGAAACACAGTGAAAGCAGATTTATCTAGCACCTTATTAAACATAGAAAAGGTAGCACAACGGAAGGTTTGATGACTAGATATCAGTAATATGCTCAACCTATTACACATTTGACTGTAAAACTAAACTTGTACCCAGGCAGTGAGAAGGAACGGATCAAAATTGAAAATAGAGAACCGAAAACCCCCCCCAAAAAAACATGTAACATACTACCAGCTGCCAGATCTACACGTCTGTCTCCTGAAAGAGGAGCTCGAAGAGGCTCTGCTGACGATTCTGACCCCGCCTGTTCCTACAGCGTAAAGGTCAGGACCTAAAAGTTGTCTGCAGCTAATTTGAGGTGATTGTGTTTAGTGGCTCATCTGTGAGAGGAATAGCCCATTTACTGGTGGTTTGGAAAGAAAGCAGAAGCTGCAGAATAAACTATAAACCCATGAAAGTAAGAATGTTTAGGAAACACAAACTAAATAAAATGGATGAGCTCCTAACATATATGTAGGAGGTTCAATACATAGAAACTGCAGAAATTGCATAGAAAATGCATCTCTCGTCTTGCTTTTCATGTTAAGAATGGATTTACTTAAAAAACTAAAAAAATAAAATGACTGCAAGATAAATGATGTAGAATAATCTACTGCTGATCTCTCTTCTCCCCCTCCTCCTCGGGGGTTTGTGTGTTTTTAACACAGTTCTGATGAGAAAACTTTTCTCGTTGAGAATTTGTTGCGCTCATCCAGTGCTGAACCCCCATCTTCTATCCCTCCATGCTGGTTCTGGCTGGCGTGCGCTTCTGAACTTTTCTTTGCAAAAAAAAAAAAAAAAAAAAGCAAACAACCGGCAGAGATTTGGAAGGGTTAGAGAGTAAAGGTAAACCAGAAATGAAGTCCAAAGGTGAGACTTCTGTGAAAGATACAGGCGATTCAAGGGATGAAAAAAGTGCTGGTGGGCTGAATCCCTGTGAAAACCAACAGAAAACCAAAAATAAGAAACAAATACTGTAAAAAACAACAACAACAACAACTTCTTATTAACATTTACTTGCAGGTTTAAAAGGTATGCCATCTTTGTAAGACGTGAGTCAGATGTGTGTCTCTACGTCTGTGTAACCAGGCAGGATGTCTCCGTTGGAGCAGCTCTTGGGTTCCCCGGCAGGTGGGGTGGTGGGCAACATGTGGGCAGTCGTCGACGTCTCCTCGGGCGACGCTTGGTTTCGCTGGACCCTGCGGTGGATCAGGGGCACAAAAAACAGCACCATGCCCCCAATCATAGGTGGTACCCCAGCCAGGGAGAAAGCTACTGTGTAGTCGCCAAAGTAGTCATGAAGGAGACCTGTGAATAGATCCACAAGCGAATATTAAACATTGTTTACTCAAAGATCAAAGTTTTGACTGTTTTGAGGAACATTGTTCAACCTATCATCTATAAATGGAAAGAATATGTCACAGCTGCAGAGATACTCTGCTCAGATGTGAGAATCTGTCAACAGGATAACCTTTACGTATGCTATTATGGCAGAGAAGGAAACAGAAAGCCATTGTTGAAGCAAAGCCAAAAGAAATCCTCTTTAAATCTCTACAGCTAGACAGAGATTTAAAGAGCAGGGACAAAAGTGAATTAGGTGGATTAGCAGTGTTTTCTAACAACTGATGGTGTCACCAAGACATGCTACTGTGAAACATTGTCTCTGCTGCCCAGAAATTGAGTTGTAACAAAACTGTCTTCAGTCAGAAGCTTCTTGTGATTTGTTGCAAGACTGACTGCTACCAGATTTCCTTCCTGCTGGCAGAATCAACATCCACAATTACTCTTTGAAGATACTTAGATGATATGAGATATGACAATTTTTTTTCTGTTGGGATAATTAAAATATTTTTAAATTGAGCTGAATTACGTTTTACTGCAAGACATTTATTAAACTCAGCAAATATGTGAGAGAAGGTGATTCAAAGGGACGTTCAAAAACTCTAGGTTCATGCAAGGCACGTTATTCTCCCATCCAGTCAAACTGTGAAATTGTGCATCGACTTGTTGAACACAGAGCATCCTCTCTTCTTTCCTATTGTCTGACATCTTGAATATGGATTTGTCAAACAGCTTTTTAACAAGTATCAGTCTGTTCCAAATGCACCCAAGCTCAAAGAGGTAAAAATAAGGCCCTGTTGTCTGTCTGCAAAGTTTAAGTAGAACTTCAGCAGCTTTTTTCAGTGGCTTGCTCTTCTGCACAAAAAGGTTCAGGGACAAACATCAATGATGCTATTGGGTCCATGAGTGAATAGAGAATGGGTAACCTGGACAACAGAGCGGAACAACATTTAAACGTTTCGGTGCAATAATTGTCCTCATTCAGACCAGATCCTCGTCAAGTCGGACCTTTTGTTTCAGCAGAACAGGGGGACAATGTGTGTATTTAAGCAACAGAGAATCATTTAAGATCGTTCCAAGTAACTAAAGTAACTGATGAATAAATTTCTGTCCTATTAAAACATCTGCATTTAAATTGCTGTCACAGCTTTTTAGGATTTACATCAATATTTTGCTGTAAATTTACAAAAAAAAATTACATAAGAAGGTTTATCATGTGAAGTCCAACTCAATAACTGAGAGTTATGTGCTTAAGCAGGAAGTAAAATCTGTATCTGAACCTAAAGAGCTGCAAGGCAGAGTAAAACCACATCTGAGTCATCAAATTAGTTTTTAGTGGTTATAATTTCAGGAACCATAAGAGGAGCATCTTATCTGATGGCGGTAAAGGGCTGACTTCCGACCTTGTTTGCGCTTTTAGCCTCAACACAAATCCTTTGAGAAGCCTGCAGTTGGCCTCAGTCCCAAACGTCTATAAATGCAATCCATTGTATAAGCAGCAAGGCATTTGTCCCACTTTACCTTTACTTCCGACATATTGTCTTCCCTCGTTTGGAAGTTTTTCCTGTAAACAGCAGTCAGCTTAGGTTTTGCAACAATGCATTCCTTATAGAATACATATTACCACTCAGAAGTGAAATAAAGAAATAACGACTCGCACCTGCAATTGGTGGACCTGCCGTCATTGGGAGGGACATAAGGCCCAGAAGGTAACCTATGGCTTGAGAGGCCTGCATGGGGCCAACCAGCTCGAAGGCGATAGGAGCCATCATAGTGAGGAAGCAACCATCACAAAGCCCCAGGAACACACACACCACCACCAGCGCCTCGAACACCGCACACTGAGGAATCATCATGGACATGAGGCCCAGGGCCATGAAGGATGCCACCTGGAAGAGAAAATTAATCATAACTAACTCCCTTGGTTAAGCTCTTTGTTCTTTGGGAAGTAATGTGTGACAAAGAAATCCAAATCTGAGGAAATCTCTGAACCACATCATGAGGTCTGAAGGCTCTGTGGTATTTTTATCAGCGCTTTAAGCATTAGTTAGCTCAGATTCCTCCAGTCACTTAATACCGCCTAATTTAAATAAGCTCCAGGTCTGTGGCAGTAATACTGTGAAGAGAGAAGGAGAGGCTGCGTGTATTCACAATGAGCTAAAAGTGTTACTTTAAACCTTTCATAGTCACACGCAAGACGTTCTAAGAAGGGTTCAGCAGTGGATGAAAACATATCGAGGCTGTCCAATATTAAAATCTTATCCTGTTCATTATAATTTACACACTATTTCTAACTAAATTAAAATATCATTTACATACTGGCAGAATGGCTAAAATGATAATGAGGCTTTAAAGATATATTTCTTTATTAGAGGTGATGTGACTCAACTGTAACACATTTTATAAATAACACTTGCTTTTTTATTATTAATTTGTCTAATTATTAATTTACATTTTTAATCTGTAGTCTCAACATTGTAAATGCAGGTTTAAGTAAATAAAGACAGCAACATTAATCATAACGACCCATTTGTGTGCCCTGTGACAACTCTGTTCATCAGCAGTGGTAAAGCTAATTTAAGGTTGATTTGTTGACATTTTCATTTTTTATTTTATTTTTCATTTTTTATTAATTCTTTGCCATTTTTAAAAAGCTGCTATTCCAGAAATATAAAATATACCTGCCTGCTTCATTCTGACCCCAAACACATTAACAGCTTTAATGTGTTTGGGGTCAGTGTCATCAATTTGAGGAGTAGAGAAAGAATTTAGAGGTCATCTTTTTGAGCAGCACTGGCAGCAAAACAGTCCCACGGGTTGATACTACCACCACCATGCTTGGCAGTTAGTAAAGTCTTATTGTGTTTCAAAGCTTCCCAGTGACTCTTCCAAACATATGACATGTCATTTTGACCGAATAACTCAGTCTGTCTTCTCTGCAGAAAAGGTTTCTCCAGCAGACCTTTGACTTGTTCACATGGGCAGCTTCAAATTTCATTCGTGGTTGAAGGAGTCTATTTTAGTGCGGGTATTTTTTTTCTTGTTCAGCACCCTCTAAATCAGAGTTCATGTTGAACCCTTTTCACTGTAGACAGTGACACTGGAAACAATTCCTGGGCTATTTTAGTGGCATCAAGGCCAATTTCTGCCAACTGAGAATGACAGAAGGTTGGAACTACTGTACACTCACAAGAAACTGACGCCAAACACATAATAAACTGGTGTTGGTGTAACGGAAAACATAAAAAGTATATGGATTACAGTTATAGGCCAGGTCTCTGCAGAAGAGACTCAAATATGAAATGTTGTTAATGTTTTATTCTTTGCTGTCAAATATTTACAGACAGCAGAGAATATTTTAGAGTAAATATTTCTCAGCCCAGTTCTTCTTGTACATGTAAATATTATAAAATGATGCCTGCAAATCATTCTGTCCATAAACTTTCTGCTCCTCTGCATATACGCCAGGGTGAAATAAACCCTTCTTGCTTCCGCCTGTTGTGCTTTGCCCCCTCCTGTTTTCTCAGAAGTGAACAATCAGTGCCAATAAGCAGCTACGTAATTCTCTGGCAGCAGTAAAGCTGCTTCTCCTCTTAGTGGAGAAAGCATTTTGTAAAATGAACCATAAATTATAAATAAATCATCCTTATAATGAGAGACTGAATTTCCACACTAGTAGAAGGTGATAACATTGCACGGCAAAAAAAAATATTATTTTGAGTAAGATCTGAAAAATCATCTTTAGAGTGCTTACCAAAACCAATAATATAATTTGAATTTTTCACCTCTTTTCCACGAACCTTAATGTATGACTGATCAACACAAGTAGCACATGTGGAGTGGAAGAAAAACGATGCATGGTTTTCAATTAAAATGTAAAAATAAAGGCATTTGTATTTAGTCCAAAGGAAGACGGCAGACAGGTTGGGCACAAAATGGTGGAGAGGTTTAAAGCAGGGTGAGGTTTCTTTTCCAGAATCTGATCAAGCTTTCTTCAATTCATCAACTGAAAGTGGAAAGAGTAAAGCACAAATGCAAACCACAAAGACAGGAGAGCATTGATTAGAGACTCCAGGCATCTATATCTCAGGTGTTTACATGAAAGTTTAGTTAGGTTTACAGTCGATGCACTGAAGTGGGCACAAGGGTGCAGCCTGTTATGAAGTAAAATGTGGAGAAGCTCAATTAAATTAATATTTTTGCAATGCAGATGTTACAGCATTTATATAAACACAAAAGACTAACATCATCCCACATATTCCTCACCTGCATGTAGATCTTCTGTAGACCAGGAATGAGGTCTCCAATTTTTCCAAAGGCAAGTCGTCCCACCCCCGACGACGCTCCGATGCAAACCAGCAGCACCCATTCCTTTTCATTCTCTGTGAACTTTTCCTTCACAAAGTTGATCTGAAATTAAACATAAAGTTAACATATTGCACAAGCTTCTGCGCAACTTTTCACCTACAACAAAAAAATAAAAACCTAGAACTATTCTGTGGGAAGAAGAAATTGTTCGTCTCCAGCCCCAAATCAAGGCCTTACAATAACAAAATGTTTTCATCAACCGACCTTTAGAAAAGCTGAACAGGAAGACCCGGTACATATACATCACATTCCCTCACTCCCCTTAAGCCATGACCCCCCAAACCAGGCCCAAAACATGAAACCGCCCTCTGAAGTCTTTCCTGAGACTCCTGGTTCTTGTGAAATATTTGCTCTGCTTTGAAGAGCTCTGCATCCCTCAGTGGCCATAGGATAAGCATGTTTAGGGACACAGAGAGGCCATACAGGAGAGGCTTCCTGAGGTGGTCGAGCCAATACAAAGGCCGGGGTTGTGTTTACATCTGGGCCCGGGCCTGAAACAACAGGCCGGTCAGAGGGAGGCCGGAGCTGGAACATCCGACATCTGGATAGAGGGAGATCGACTTCGAACCTCTGTGTTGAAACTTTACAGTTCATTCACATCCCTCACTATCTCACATTAAATTAGCTATAGTTCAAGGACACATTTTGCAATCATGAAATCTAAACCGCTATCATGGTAAAAAGCTGAACAGCGCATTGTGATTTGGCAGTGATTCGACATTTTTATTATCACTATAATAACATTCAGTTGGACTAAATATTGATGTATTCGCAATAATAATGAAAAACATATAACTTCTTTTCTCTAAAACAAGCTGAAAGTGAACAAAGCCTGTAATGGAGGTGAATGATGTATCGATTTCAATGTGCAATAAGATAAATCAAGCCAGAGTCCAGTGAAAGTCACCATTCAGCATCTCAAAGATGGAGTCTGTATTTATCTTCCAAATCTAACTTCATAAAATACTTTTCCTATCAAACAACACACAGATCATTAAAGAAAACACCATCATCCATAGAGGTATTTTTTCTCATTACAAGAACAAATGTATGTCTTACTTATTGTGCTGTTAGTGGAAGAAAAAAAAATCTAGATGTTTTTTTAAAAATACAAATTAAATTGGATGCCACTAATTTAAATCTGGGTGAACTAATGGGTTTTATCTGCACCTAAACTTCATTTTACACTGAAATCTTCATTATACTGTATCTTCATTTCAGTATAAATCAAGTTTTCTATGAAGGGCTCAGAGATTTGTTAATGCACTGAGTTTCTCATATAGCACCACTTGGTCTGTCATAGTGGAGGCAGCAAAATGCTGATCAGAGCATAACTAGTGTATATCAAAAACTTTTAAAGTGAAAAGACAATCTGAGGCAGGACTTGAAAAATGACGGTTACAGATGTTTCCCATCCATCCTAACTGAGTTTTGGGTGTTTTGAAGGATGAATGAGCACAATGTTTAGTCTTCATTTTGCTAAGCAGGCTTGCAGCTGTAAAAGCAGCAAAAAGGTGCCTCTTCAAAATACTGACTCAGGAGGCTGAACACGCATGAACACCACGTCATAAAAACCATGCATCCCTCCTCTGTTTTCCAGTTGACAAATATTTTATATTTTGTGTCCATCTATCACATAAAATCCCCCTGAAATATGTTTAAATTAACCTAAAGAAAACAAGACAGTATTTTACTAAACCATGTTTAAGACATTAAAACAGACAAAGTTGATGTTTTACTCTTGAAGGTAGCAGAACACAATACTGAGGAGAGATTTTCTTACCAGATGGATATATGGCACAAAGTATCCCAGCACAGCTGTTGCTACTCCGAACGCCCACACCCGGTACGTCACGATGTGAAACACACGCAGGTTGAAGTACTTCCTAATCCCAGCAACGACCTTGCTCCACTTGCTCATCCCCTGAGCCGAGGCCTGGGTCTGGGTTTCAGCAGGGCCAGGGCCCATCCCCGGTGGGCCCATGCCTCCCCCGGTAGGAAGTAAAGGTTTGAATGTTAATGCCAGCAGGGCCTGAACCAGCATGAAGAGGCTGAGAATCTGGAAGGTTCTGCTAAGACCCAGAGGGTCAATCAGTATGTTCAGAAGAACTGGCAGTCCCATGGAGAAGAGACTGGCTCCGGCCGTCACCACACCGTTGGCCAGGCCCAGTCGCTGCCGGAAGTAGTGACCGAGGATCACTAATGACGGCTGGAAGGCAAAGGAAGAGCCACAACCGAACAATATCCCATATGTGAAGTAGCGAAGGATTAGGGAGCTGCAAATGCAAAGAAGAAAAGCTTAACTGTAATAAAAACTGCTAAATAAAATGCAATCTACTAATAAAGAAATATGTTTTCCAGTGGGAAGTATCTATAAATATTGTAACAGTAACAACTTTATGGGCAAAAGTTTATAAGACTGAAACAAGTCTGTTGGGTCGGACCAAATTAGTGTTTTCATTAAGACTTCTAAAGAGCAGAGTTTGTTCCTCTGGCTGGCGAAGGAGACTTTCCTACTGGACATTTGCTGTAACTTATCAATAACTAAAGCTCAGCACATATCATTTTATGTTATTTTCTCAAAAATGTATTTCTCTCAAAAAGTCTTCATCGGTTGCAATGTATAAATACAGAAGCATTATTAATGTTAACATGTTTTATCATTTTATTAATTTTTGACTAAATTAAAGTGCAATCAGTCTTGGTGCAGGAAAGTATAAAAACCCATTCACTGTGCAACCATAACTATAGGTATCTTACTTTGCAAATGATGTTGTGAGAAGCCCTATGAAAGCCACTGCTGCCCCACAGACAGCGGTCTTCCTGCAGCCGAAGCGGTCTGTGAACATGCTGACCACAGGAGAGCAGAAGAAGATCATGCCCATGGCCAGGGCCCCGACCCAGGCTGCAGAACGAGAACAGAGAGGAGACGAACCATCATTAGAAACATGTGGAAACCGCATGTGTTGTGGCAATCACTGAAAGTAAATATGACCCTGTGTGACCACAAAACAAACACCAGAGTCCTTGCACTATGAAATTTTAGTTTTCATTTCATAATTAAAACCCTGTGGGCTACTGTTATGTGTAACTATGGATCACAGGGCACAGTTTGGTTTAAATCCATCACATACTGCCTAGACTTGGAAGAAATTCATACAAAATGGCTTTATGAACAGCAGACGAGCTTTAGTGTGCGCAACGTCTGGCAGAAACTGGTGCAAAAAAGGAACCTGAAAATCCTGCTTTGTTATAATCCTTTCTGAATGTGGCAGTTATCTGATTACCACATGGGACACATTGGTGAAAAAACACTCTTGCATCAGTTTTCAGAACATTTATGTTTGCCCTACTTTTTTGTTCTTCTATAAGCTTTTTGAATAAGTAAAACCTGTGAACTCAGTGGAAGCTGCAGTGAAAGGAAGACATGTGCCTCAAGTCTCACTTTAGCTTCCTTAGAGGAAGTTCAAACAAATTGAATGTGACACAAATATGAGATTTCTGGAAAGTTGGAAGTTTGTTTTTCAGCAATTTAAGTGGATATCTAATAGTTTAACAGTTTGATAATACCTTTCTAAAAGTTTTTCATACTTGTTTTTATTTTATTCTGCTTAAAGATCCTGCACAGTGATTGTTTAAGACCTAAAATGTCATGTCATCCAACATTACTCTACAGAAGTGGGTAAAGAACCAATAAAGTATTGAAAAAGATCAACATGATCAACAGTTAATTTAAGTTTAAAAATGTAATTTAAAATGATTAAAAAATATATGTTTAATATCTTTTGGAGTTTCACATAAATGTGTGTTTTTTTAGTGTCTCGACGGATCAAAAAGTGGATCAAAGTGTTTTTGTAAAGTATTAAGTGAGTGTCCAAGCATAACAAGCCAAATGGCTCTGAGAGAGACACAGCGTGCCCGGTAGAGCAAACAAAAACACATGCCAGATTCAAGTCTCCAAGGGAGCAAAGGTAGCTTGGATCTCTACCAAGCTGTCCTGGTTGTGATCTAACTGATGCAACAGTTCAGTGGAAAAAGGTGATGACCTCTGACTTCTTTGCAGTGAAGTGAAACATGAGCTTAGGATGGTCATCGCTGTGAAGCTTGACATAAACATCCTGCATGTTTCTGCTTGACTTTGGAACCACTTCTGAAATGATCTTCCAAGTTTTTAAGGAGGAAAATTGTCATCCCACCATGGAGCTTCACAAATTCAATGTCAAATATGAGTTTCCCTTCTTCTACCCTTCTCTGTCAACTATTTTTGTCACCTTCAGCTTGATATTTTCTTCATAATTTCCTTGATGACATACAGGGTCAAATGTTCTGCGAGCTCAGCCAGAGCTCTCTTAGATGACATACATGAACAGTGTTAAACAGTGTTGAAAGTTTCTGCTGCAGACATTATTTTGACAGCATTTCTCAAATTTTCTCAAGCAGCTATTCAGTTTTCCAGCATCAACACTTTCTGGCAGGAAAGACCACAGGCTTTCCTCGAACACTCAATGTGTGTATTTCAATGTGGGCAAACACTTCATTTTCAGAAATCCAATTTTTTTTTTACATCCATTGTTTTATTTTGCTACCCAAGACTTACAGTTTAGGTCAGAAGTTTAAATTGTATTAAAAATGTGAACTAAACCATTGGTTTGGGGCTTTAGATAGTGAAATTATTGCATGTCACACAACCGTAATGAGTTTTAAAAAGAAGATTCCATGCAGAAATTTGAATACCATGAAACTTCTCTAATCTGCATAGTCAAATTTAAATATTAAGTTAATTAAACACAAATACTGCTTTTAAAAACATCCATTTTTATAGCAAGGTCATACAGAAGAAAAGTTACATAAAGAAATTTGTTTTTTTATAAGCTGCACACACAATCTGAATTTAATTATATTTTTGAATTCAGTGAAGATAATGACGATAATGACATTGTCAATCCCTGTATTCGGAGGGACTAGAGACCACAGCAGCCTGCAAAATTTTATCATATTGAGAAATTTTTTATGATAAACAATGTAGGGTGGTGATCAAGAAAGAAGTCCTTCCTACAAAATCAGCACCTTCAATTACAATGGAACTTTATAGGTCCTCACATGGATGAGTCAAATACGTTATGGATAAATTGCTTAAATCAGGAGAGAAGAAGATGAAGCTTTTTGGCCACAATTACAAGAGTAATCTTCGTACTGGAAGAATAAGACCACTGCCCCAGGTTGTAAGCTTCATTACGATGTTAAGAATTTGTTTCACTGCCAGTAAGAAGATTAAGTGGCAGTTCTTAAACCACCACTTAAATGACTTTGTTATAAGATTCTGGAGTGAGGTGAATTGCAGTCTTGCAAAAAGCATGAAAACTAATCTTTCTACTGTCAGCAGGAAGAATGGGACACCTCCTGAGCATAGGGAGGCGCCAACTTCCCATCAACTGTATATGCCAAAAAGCAACTGAAAGCAAATTCAGAACTTGCACAAAGTGGGGAAAATGTGTCAAAACCTTCAAATCCATCAACTTTTTATCAACATAATGGCAGGATTGTCGAAATGTGATCAGAACTGGATGTTCTGGAAGGAAAACAACCCAAAAAGCACAGCAATGGCAGTGGATGAAGCAGACTAGCATTAACCTTTTTGCATGGCCCCGACCTGAACTCTTAAAGAACAGAACGAACTGTACCCAGCACAGTCCATTTTCAGAATAGAGTGTGTTATGTGCTCCACTGGCTGGAGTGGAGACAGAGATCATAAAAAAAAGATGGACTGAAGAGGCAAAAGCAGACAAGACCAAATGCAGATTTTTCTTCCCCAAAATACTAAGATTGTGGTGGGTTTTATTGCCTCTAGTGGGCTTTATTTGACAGTGAATTGACAGGAAAGTTGGTAATGAGAGAAGGGAAAGACATGCAGCAAAGGTCACCAGGCTGGGAATCGAACCTGCGACCACCACGTCGAGGGCTAAGGCCATCTTATGTGGGTTGTGCTTAACCCCTACACCACCACATAAGCCCCTGTGGTGCCTTTGTTACGAAGGCAGCATTCACTTGAAAGTTTAAAACCACAAACCCATGTTTGAGTGCTATGTGCTGGTAAAGCACAAAATGAAACTCAGCCGTCACCCCGCAACGCCCCCCAAAAAAGAAAAATCTTTCTGACTAAAGCAAAAGTCTGGGAATAAATGGAGTGCCGCATTCTCATTAGAGAGGATTAGGTCAACCCACTCCGAGACAAAAGGAAAAAGAACACTGTGAACCGAACTTGCAATAAAATAGAGAGGTGTGTGTTTCTGTGTGGGCTCAAGCTTTTTGTTCTGCTTAGACACATTCTGACAGCAAGTATTTTCAGACTTCCTCTGCACAAGCATTTTCTAGCGCATGAACTCTAAAATAGTTAAAGAGGCTTCCTGATGAGTACTCTAAAACATGTAAAAGCTTGTGCACATTTAAGCAACATCACAGTGAATGTTTACAAGTTCTGTTTTCAGGCAGAGCAGAATGATGTCATTGCTATTTATGTGTGTATGCGAGTTCTTTGATCTACGCAATGCAAGCAGCTACACAGCTGTGCCTTCATAAACATTGTGCATGCCAAGTCAATCAACACTTTTTTTTTCAAGCTGTAAGCAATGTGCAGTCTGTAAGAGCGTGAACCCTGAGTCATTAATGCCTCTGACCCCCTTTTCAAAACCGCCTGGTGATGAAACTCGCGTTTACACAACCGCAGCTTTCACAAATTAATCAACGTCACAAAGAAAAATTCACTCGACATGCAACTTCAGTTCAAGTCAAGCAACTGGATACGGATAAACGAGCTGAAACTGCGTGTTTTTAGCATTAATGTTAGAGAATAATCCCTGAAGCGTAATGCAAATAAATGAAGACTTTAGAGCATAAAAAATTATATTATCCACTTTTCACACACCAATTGAAATTTTATTTCATGCACAAGGTGTTGCCAAACAATCGGAAACAGCTCATTGTACAAATGCTCTCTGACGACATTGTTTGTATCTCGCACAGACATAAGAGGAAATATTCAGTCAATGAAACAATGCAGCAGACTGCGGCTGGCATTGTGTGGACTTCTCACTGTAGGAGGGAAACAATGGCCATACATATTTTTGCACTATTAATGGAAACGTGGATTTACACGAATATAGTGTTGATATGGAAAACATTTTCCTCAAGGCCAAATAAAACGTCTTCAGCAGGTGCTGGAGATGGAACATGCAGCAGTATGTGACGTTCAAGTTATTTTGGTCTGAAACAGCAGATACGCAACAGTTACCTTGCAGAAATCTAATACAATGCTCTTTTATATAACGGTTTGCTAATGTTAAAGTGGAAGATTTAGTGATTTATGTGGTACACTGTTAACTAACATGGCATTTCTAAACCTTTAACGATGGGAAATTAAGTTTAGGTAGAGATTTCCAGCTTTCTTTGGAGTCCTATCATTTGAATTTATGTTATGAGATTTAAATGAAAAAAACAAGCTGTGGGTTCTTTGATAGAAAAAAATTAAGAAATCACAAGGTAATGCATCAGATGCACATTACGCCTGAGTGAGACACTAAAGTAGTTCACAGGTTGAGATGCAAAAAAATGAAAGCTTAATAAATTCTTTTAAGTCCTTTCCCAGATTTTTATAAGAAATTTCCTCTACATTATTTAAATTTAAAAAAATCTGTTTGAAGGTAAAACCGTTAAAAATGGGAAGGTGCAATAGCCCAGTAGCCAGATACTGGATTTAATGGATGTATGCCTGGGCTGTATAATGTGCAGAAAAATCCATCTTCTTCTGGATCCCAGATTTGGGGTCAAAATGACGACTTAAATCTGTTTTCAATTTCATCTAGAAAAGTAACCACACATCATGCTGCTATCACCAAGTTTTACAACAGTCACAATATCCATCTGAAGTTTTAATTTAGATTAGTTTCATCAGAAACTCATTAATCAACAAGGTTTTGGGAGATTTTACTCATGTTTGAATGTTTTCTTTGATAACAAAAGGCTTCTGTGTCATTGCTCTATAGCAGATTGCTGACAAACCCCAGAGTTAATATCTTGTTAGCCTCATTGATCAGTGTCCAGCTTGTCTTTTCGATCATTTTGGAGATGGTGACTGTCCTTACAGTGTCCTGAATGATAAATAGTATCATTCTCCTGATGGACAAATTTGTTCAGGTTCAAAAACTTCTTATAGAGAAGCAGCAAACTGAAATGCTAAGAGTCCAAGGACCTTTAATATACCAACATCAGATCTCTTTTCACTCGCTACCTGGATGTGACGACTTCTTTGGAGCAAACTTTATGATTCTAAGAAGCTAAAAGTGCTGGACAAACATTTGCAAAATCATCTGCAACAGATAAGAGGGGAGTGCCCTCAAAGAGCCTCAGTTCAAAAATTAGTTTCGACAGCAGAAATTACTGGATGTCTCAGGGTTTCCCCCAGTGTATTTTTATCAGCCTGGCGGGCCGCCAGGCTTTACTTGTGACCTGAACAGGCTTAACAAGTTGTTTGTCTTATTTAAATACATATATACATATATATGTCTAAAGAGTTGGTGTTCAGTTATTAATTTTACAATCTTACAATTACACATAATTATCAAGCGATATTTTTAAATTTTGTGTCAACTTTAAAAATATTTTATCTCAAAAACCCACCAACCCGCTGGATGAATGACTGCCTGAGCACCCAACCACCGGGCTTAGCAAGTTTTCTGGGAGAGACCTTGTGTTTCATGACTTGTTTATTTGTTGTCACTTTCTGAATGTTCCTAAAATCCTCACAACAATTAAAGATTCTTAGTTTCTCCAAGCTGCGAGTCAATGAAAACTACCTGTTTGGATATCAATATTACTGCAAAAGAATATGCGATATATGTGTGCTTACAAGTTGCAAAATATGCTTCAGGTTCTATTTCTAAATAGATAATGAATCTTTTTAGTGGTGTTTTCAATATGCAGAAGGTTATGGTCAAGAGGACATCTGCTGGATGCATTGCCTTCCGCTCTCTTTCTCCAGCCTTACTAAATAAGGTTCCGAATAAAAGACAAATCAAACACCAGCATAAAAACAGAAAATGTCTTTCATCTGCATCGTTGTGCTCATATAACAGTGTGAAAGCTCATGAGACCTTGATCCAACCTGAACCCATTCCCCTGCCCTCTGGAATGCCAGAAAGCCAGTCGTGCCTTCAGTTCTGCCAACTTGGGATCTCAAGCTGCCAGCAGAGATCCTGGAGAAATCTCAGACTGCAGAGATAGTTCAGCACCGAGGTGGACAATACACCAGAGGCTGTTCAGGTCATAATGAACTTGTTTGGACTCTGGAGAGCGCTCTCATTCTGCTTTTTTGAGTGCCCTCAAGAAAAGCAGGTCACCTATTGATCATGAAATATAATGCTTGAGAATTTCCTCTAACGTTTCTGGTGAATGTAGAACCATCAAAAAGTGGTCCTTCTCTTCCTCAGTGCAAGAAAATCCAACAATTTTCAATTAGCCTGTCATGGACCTTGCTCTTGTGTCTTGAGTATGCTTTAGTACTTCTTGCTTTAATATGTTCACTTCATTTATTTTACTCATGTTCTGTATTCAGCTTCCACCTAGTTGACTTAACAATAAATGCTGAATAAACCAAATGTATGCATCTTTTAAACAGAGTAAACCACTTTTCCTTTCTATCCTGCCTGTAACTGTGAAGCAACAGGTAGGGGAGGGGCAGAGTGGCTTTACTCTATTCTCCATAGAGCTGAGATAAAACAAATGCCACAGCAGCACTTTTTCTAATAATTGAAACACCTTTAAACCCCAAGAATAGAATAACAGATAAATCACCGTAACCTTTAAAACACTAAAATAAACCTGTCATCATCCTCCCTAATTTTGCATGGACTTCAGAAGTTTCATCCTGACCCACTGTTACTCAGAGCCAAGCCAAATAACACAAAGCAAGGCCACACAATGACAACAATGGTGTAATTATACAGAACTATTTGGAAGACATACTTGGGCAATGCTACAACAGTTTAAGGAGCACATCTCAAGCTAGACTGACTAGTTTCTACTTGCTTGGTATCAACTCTGCCTGGAGTCATTAAAGGGCATTTAAAAACTTTACCAAAAAACCGTCTAATGCAGTCTTTCACAAACTCTCCAGCCTCCTTCCTTTCAAATGAAGTAACAGATTTGTATGAAAAGAGTGAAGAATATGTGCTCCTGTTCTGTTTCAGATCAGTAGCACAAAGATCAAAATTACTTTAGGCGTTGATAAAAAAATTAATCCGCCCCTCCTGTCGAGCTTTTCATCTGCCCCCGTCTCACACATTCCCGATTCGCAAACTGTGCAGCCGGTGCAGATAGCTGTTTTCAACTTCCCTCCCTTGTTAGGCACACCGTGTTGACCAGGGGCTCACTCCCCCACCAATCGCTGAAGCAGCAGGATTTTTAAATGTCTTTTTAAAAAAAAGACATTTTTCAGTCTTTCATGTTGCATGTAAAAAGATTGGGAACAAAACGGTGACTTGCTACAATCACTGGGCAGTAACAACACCATCTGTGTTTCGCAACCCACCCACGTCGCCACCATTTTACTGCTAAAAGAATATATTTATGCTCACCCCGTTGTGGTATTTCAAGATTTCCTTCTGTATCCCTGAAGTCCTGATAAAGTAAATATTTGAGGTGAAGCATAAAAGTGAAACAGCTCTTTAATAACCTGTAAAGAAAAATTTACTATTTTGGCTTCGCATGCTTTTCTAAAGTGATTCTCAATAGTCTCTCCATTTGAAGGCCAGCCAAGAAAATGACTTTCAATTTTTGCTATACAAACACTGGATCTAAAGCAGTCTGGACAATTTCCTCAATGTAGAGTAAAAAACACAGCATCCAACCAATTCGCATTTATATTTAGAAAAATAATAACACAAGAAGAAGGTCTTTGTTTATTTTTTTTCCTCGCTTTGTCATTTATAATAATTAGTTAGAAGCCGTTTAATCTCCTCCCACATATTGTCTTTTACCATAGCTGGTGATTGCGAAACACTTTAGAAAAATACCCTCCAGTGTTACTGTATAGTGAGAACGGGAAAGAACGAAGGAGGAACCTAATGCCAAAAATAACACCCAAAAGAAATAATTCACCGAGCAGCAGCTAACACATGCATTTTCACCTTTATAGGTTGTCATATGACTACAGGTTGAATGATTAGAATGAATTCAGTGCTAATATTTTGATCATAGCTACTTGAACCAAGCAACCATAATATGTACATATTATTGCAAAATAGAACTGCTGTGTCTTTCCAAGCTGTAAAGATAAAATTAAAATTGTTCTGCTTCTGTTTTTTGATATAGTATTCATAAATCTCACTTTATTTAATTATGTGTGCTATAATTTGAGGCCTCAAAGTGGGGGAAAAAAATCTATTAAAAGTGATCCCTGTTCACAAATTACAGCTAATTTCCAGCAGACTTTACTGCAGTGCTGCTACTGAACAAATAACACAGACCTGGTCATTTAAGGTCATGTTACACATTAGTGTTGCTGCTTACAGGGTCGTATGATTACACCAAGTGTATAACACTGCTGGAATAATCTCACACGGGAAATCTAAAATATTGCTGGGACTTTGAATAATGTCTGCTTAAATAGACAAAGGGTTTCTCTGGCTGTATGACATAAAGTAACACAGAATCCAGTTGCTGAGCACTGCCAGACAGCTCCCAGAAAGACGGATATTTCAGATCTCCCCCACTTACAAAACTGACATTTTTGACTGTTTAGCAGATGTTTATTCTATGCAAAATCAAAATAGCAACATAACTTTGCAATGACTGTAAATAAAGTCCCTCTGTAATGTCAGGAGCAAAAAGAGCAATTGTGTTATTTTATTTAAAAGCAATTTGAGTGTGTTGCTTATTTTTATTTAAACATTGGAACTTCATGCTATAGTCTTAAATAATGAACATAATAAATGCACATAAAAGAGAAAACATGTTCTTTGGGAGTCTTAATAATAATTTTGAGTTTGACAGAAAATGAAAGGGTTTAAGCATCAAAGCTTAAACTGAACCATTAAACAAAAAAAGTGATTTAATGTTTATGTTCTGAAAATGGTTGGAAATTTCCACTTTTGTTTATTTTGTTTCATTTAACTAGCTGAGAAAATTGATCCTTATTATTCAAAGTAAAACCTGTTAACATCTATGTTTTTAGGGTTGCTGGTGCAACTCTAACCCACATGTGCATCACCTGGGTCCACTTGTTGCAGTGTTTCCTACTCACCCACTTTGAACTGGGAGGTTTGGTCCTCCGGGTCAGTGTGCTCCTCCACCAGCTTCGTATGGAGGATCCCGAAAGAGTTCTGAATCCCGAAGATGGACCCGTTGCACCAGGTTGCAGCAAAAACCACGAGCCATCCCCAGCCTCCTTCTGGCGGGACAAATCCGGGTCCCTGGCCGTGCATCTCCAGCTGCACCCCAGCTTCAGCATCAGGATAGGCGGAGAGCGTGGGCTTGGACTCTCCCTCTATCAGCTCGACGGCGCTGCCCGCCGGCTGTCCATCCTTGCTGCCGTCCGCCTCCGAGGGAGCGTCTGTGGGCTCCATCTGCGGCGCTGCGCCCGGCTGCTCCGTGCGGGACTTCGCCTGGACCTCGATCCCGTTGGTCCCCATGCTGTCTGGACTGGAGGGGAGGTTACTGCTGGATTTTGCCGTTCATGCCGGGGATATAGGTCACTGACATAAGAGCAGCGATTTGAATAACAGATTTGATTGGCTATCTGTCAAACGTGCAAGACTGATGGTGGTTCCCTGGCACAGCAGCCTCCTACACGCCGCTGGCAGCCGAAGTCTGAGCGGCAACTTCTGAGAAGAAATCCCAGCCTGCGAGCGCTGCTTTCCCCATTCTGGACTCCGAGTTTCCAGGAATTCACCCACCTAATCTTCCTTTCCGATATAAGGAACTGCCTGTGGAGCGTTAACCCATATATTTATTGACTTGTACCACTGATTCCGCTCCGCTTCGACACCGCGCCGTCTCGTCACGCAGTCCGCACCCGGTCATCTCGCAGGCGGTGCAAGCATGAGCGGTGCCTCGCACCCCGACTTCCCCTTGACACATTCACGCTGTTTCGGATGTAGCTAGGCCTGTGTGAGTCCCAGCTGTGGGTTGTGTCGGCTCTCAACTGTCAGCGCCGTTTCTGCCGTCATTGAGCTGCTGCTCGCCACCGCCTCCTCTCCCTTCCCCGCCGCGGGCCGACGGTTGGAGCCAATGGGACAACTTCGTGTCCGTGACGGAAAGAGGCGAACATTGGCGAATCAACTGGACTGACAGCTAGCATGCTGTAGCTAACTTACTATAGCTAGCATGTACAATTGTAGCTTCTAAACAGCTGTAGCACTTTAAGCTGTTAAATATATAACTGGTAAACATTTAAAAGTGTTAAGTTTAGACGTTATTGTTACATATCTGAAACTAGTCTTATACATAAATTGTTTTTATGTCTAAAAAGTAGACAAGAATCATGAAGGTGTCAGTTTCAACATAAACACTATAATCTCTTTTGGAAGGTTATGACAACATACTGGTGTCTCTAAATTATATTATAGTTTGAAAACATGTATTGTAGTGATTTAATTCAGACGTAGAAGTCATATTCATCCTGCATTTTTTTCTGTTGATTTAGATACCAGGCAAATAAAACCCTAATTCAATTTAGGACTAACATTGCATGGAAAGAAAACCCAATTCAGACATGTTATTCTATGGTACTGGGTAATCATCATTGCTAGATAAGCATTGCTACAGTAGCTGGCTGGTTAATGTTTCTAAACATATTAATGAAAAGCAAATTTTAAATTAGCAGATAATGGTGACCATACTTCCATCCTTCCTTGGCCTCCTACATAACCAGCTTTTGATTCTACAAATTTAACCATTTCATCTTTGGCAAAGTCTTGGTAAAGTTGACTAAATGTCAGCAGTTATTGTATTTATGGTTTTTCCCTTATGTGCCCCTTCCGCCCTCGCCCTGCAGAACTTTTCCTCTCCCCAGGAGAGTTAAATCCCCACACTTTGAAAACCCTGGTTTATGTCATTATTTATAATAAATGTATGAAATATTTTCACTTTTTATTCAGGAAAGTAGCACTTTTCAATGGGATTCCAATTTAATAAGGTGCAGTTCTATGACTTTATGCTATATATGATTTCCCCAAGAAAATCAGTTATGATGCAAAGGTAAAAGTCATTTTCCAGAAGTATTAAATAATAAACACAAAATCAGTCAAACATATTTAAGACATAGATCTACACCAATATAAATCAGTTTTACTTTTTGTGCTATTATTTAATTGTAAGGCATCTGTTCAAAGGAACTGTTTAAGAAGATAAAATAAACTCCACCCTGCATAGGATTTTGTCTCCAAGACAACTAAGTGGTTTTAAGTATCAACATTTTTATTATTTATCTTGTTGTTTTTCCTCGGTATTTTAGTGTTTTTAATAACGTTTTTCATTTAGATTATTTTTTACCTGTATTCTGTTCAGCTGCAGCAGACATGAGAAGTTTACATGGATTTTAGGAAAGTTTGGCAACAATTAAAGACACATGGAAGTGATTTTTGAGAAGCACTGGGGCAGACTGGAATCAAACTGGGATCCTTCAAAGTCTTTGTTGAAAATTGTCACGTGTCACTCTCTCAGCTGGGGTTGCACATGGCGTAGCGGAGGAGCAGAAATCCCATAATGCAGGTTAAAAAAAACACAACTGATAGAGATGATGTTTCTTTTGAATACTTTCTGCACTGCTGTCAAATTGTTGCACTAATTTAGAAATAAAGCATTGATAGAAATGTGCTTTCACCATTTAGGTCAATGCTTTCAAACAAAAGCTGCATTGTCTCTCCTAAACCACCCATATGACTAAAGGACTTGGAGAAGAGAGTGAGCAGAAAGAGATTAATTGAGTAAATTTCACACATAAGCAGGAATTTCAAATCAGTAAGCACCAAAAACAGCCCTCTCTCTATCATAATCAGTTAAATTAACAGTGGAAATAAAAGCAGAGAACTCTCTTTAAATGACAAGTAATGCAGAAAGCTGCTTTTTCATAACACAACAGCTGCAAAATCCTGGCATTAAATATGCAAACCACTAAAACTCCCCTGGAGCAACAGCGGCCTTTATTCAAGCATTTTTAATGTGTTCATCTTGACAAAAAAGGGTGTGCAGATGTGGAAACTGACTGCTAGGACTGTTTTACTGTTTACTCATTAAGTCATTTGGTGACATCTTGTTTTAAATGGATCCGAGGCATCTGAAAAAAAACAACTTTATTTTATTGCCGTTATCAGAATGCACCAATTGTAGCCCTCATCTCCGGTCTTAATGTCAGTGATCTGCTGCTGGAAACAATCTAATTGTGGCCTCCACTTTGGAGGTCCAAAAAGGTTTCCAGTTTGGACCTACCATTTAAGCTTGCACCACAAATCTCCTTGATGGTAGAGGTAACTGCTTTGGGAGGCCCATTCATGACTGTTTGCCTTTCAAAGCCAGTTTTTATTTGCTTAGGTTTCTTGTCCTGTTGGACAAGAAACTGTGCCGATATTTCAACTGTCTTATCCAAACCTTCATCTTCAAATTAAAGGAAACTGGTTAATAAGTTGGAAAAAAAAAAAACTAAACTAAACTAATTTTCAGAAACTTAAATATCTCTATCTACAATCTTGCCAGCTTAACATCATCACAAACTGTGAGGGAGCCAAAAGAAGAAGAAGCTCCACATTTGCCATATCCAAACAGGACTGAAATTAGCTACCCTAATGAATACGCCAAATGGCAACTGGAGAAAAGCTTTGTTGTCAGAGATTAAGCCTAAGAACCACGTCCCAATATCCAAGCATGGTGGTGGTAGCATGATGATGTGGGTCTGTTTTAGTGTGACTTACAAAGCGGATGGAATAATGAGGAGGACTGTCTTTGAATTTTTCATCTTTATCACAGCTCAGCAGCTGAACGTTAGAAACAGGAGAAACGATCCCAAACATGCCTTAAATGTGGTTTGAAAGTATTAGAGCCTACAGAAAGCATTCATTTTTCAACAATTTGCTCATACAATCAATTTTCATTGTGACTGTAGAAAATATACAATAAATTAAAACAGTTTATTAGTGAAGTTGCAGGTTCAATATATTACACATCCACATTGATGAAATAAATAAAAGGTTAAAAATTACAAATAATTAAGCATCCCAAATTAATCTGGCTTTTATGATGATGGTGATGAGGGTATGTAAAATCCATACTACTGACCAAAGTTGTTTGCCAAGGGCAGTCCGTTGGATCTGTGCACCATTTCTAACACAACACAAACAATTTTATTGCTTGAACCCGTTTTGCTTGCACTCTACTCTATTTTGGCAAAAAGCTTCCCACCCAGAAGAAAGTGTCTCAATAACAGTTTGACCTTTGTGTTGTTTTGTTTTGTTTTTCTTTGAGAAATGTGAGTTACAGCATACTCAATTGATATCTAATTACACCAGCAGCCACAGCCTGGTAAAAGTACTTTATGGTTATTTAAATATTGAGTTGAACCTTTGTGATTGAGTAAAGTTATACTCAATGGCATGCACTCACTTGAGTGAGTAAGGTTCATCACTTAAGTAAGAAACCTTACTTAAGTGAACTAAGTTTCTTAGTTCACTTACTTGAACTGAGGAACCTCAAATGGCAACTGACATATTACAATAGCACGCGTCTACCACTAAGGGGCGCTATAGCCATGTTTAAAATGTATAAGATAACAAAGCTAAAGCATGGGAAAGCAGTCAACTTTTATCACCTTAAATAGGTAAGAGCTGGTTATAAGAACCTCTGTTACAGTTTCAGGTCTTTTGGGGTATGTTGTACAAGTTTTGAGGATCTAGAAAATGACATCTTGTCTGTTCTTCAAACCAAGTAGCTCACACTTAAGTCAGATCAAAGAGAGGTCTGTGAATATCAATCTTGCCATTTATTCCCAACTGGATGTGGTTCTGCACTTTTATTGGGCTATTCACACGTTAATATCCTTTGGCCCAAACAATCCCATTGTAGCTCTGCCAGAATATTTAGAGTCTTTGTCCTGCTGGAATGAGTTTCCTCCCCATTGTAAAATTATTTGGGTTTCTTCCAGTACTGCCCTGTGTCTCGCTTCATTCCACTTCCCATAAACTCAAATACCAGTTTTTCGGATATTTTTGAATAAAAGTACACCTCAGCATGATACATCCACCACCATGTTTCGCAGTTGTGCTGGGGTGTTCATGGTGTTGGTCACTGTTTTTCAGAACATCTTATTTCATATAAGTCAATCAAGCATTTTAGTGTTGTACATTGTGTTGTACATTTCAGCAACAGTTGCCATTTTATATCATAAAAACATAAAAACACAAAATTACAAAGTCACAAAAGACATCACACAGTGAACCAATAAACATTACACTTTGTCTCGTGCCATCGCTACACATCAAAATGTTGATCAATGTTGCATTTATTATGGTTCAAAAGCAACTCTGGACAAATGTGTTTTTAATCTAGATTTAAAGGAACTCAGTGTTTCAGCTGCTTTGTAGTTTTCTGGAAGCTTGTTCAAGAATTGGGGTTTCACTGTGTCCCATATATGATTTAAGCCAAAAAAACAACCTAATCAGGACTCAAGTCTGACTTTTGACAATGTCTTTTGTCTTGTCTCTCTTCCATGAAGTCTAAACTTGTGGCTGATAATATTTGTCATCAGATTCTCTTTCCAGAGAATCTGACATATTTTCACACACAGTTTGGCTTTAGTAACAGATTAGAGGGAGCGATTTGTATGCTGTTGTTGCTGATAGTGATACCACAGAAATGTTAGTCCTCCATGTCCGGCTGCCTGTGATACAAAGAGAGCAATAAAATTTATTAAAAAACTGAAATAGCCTTCATAATTGAAAGAAATGAATGCCAAAAACATTAAGCGAAGAATATACTTTCTATCATACTGATTGTAAGAAAATACAGTATGGCACGTAATGTGAGCCCGCTTTACGATACGAGCTGCTCCATCGTCAAACATGTGTTTCCTATTATTCTCCTGAGGACTGGGTAGACAGCGGGGGCCACTGTGGCTCCACTGGGTTAAAATTAGCTGTGCATTCATCCT